AAAAGTTTGGTGTGATAGCATAGAGATTGCTAATAAAAGGCAATATTATTTTGTTCTACATCAGTGTAACCTTGATCTCAGATCACCATTCCATAATGGGAGTTTATATGTTTTGGATTCATCACTATGTTTTCTTATTTGTAGGTTAAAACTTAGTGTAATAAATTTTATGCTTTTTTAAGTCTGCAATCATTCTAATTATACAAACTTGTTTTTAGTCTTTACCTTTTCTGAATCTTAAAGTTTAAATGTTTTGAATAAATCTGTAGTTTGACAAGCATTGGATATTCCTCAAATTTAAAAATAAAAAGTTTAAACTTGGCGTTTATTTAGGAAATATATCAGATATGTATCCAGAACTATTAGTTTAAACTCTTTAGTTGTATGAGGATGCTGCTTACAATGAACGTTTTACTTATCTTGTTTTATATTGGTTGTGGGCATTATAGTTGCAACCTTATGATCATAAGAGTAAGGTGAATGGGGTGAGTACAGAATCCTATTATCTAATGATGTTTTGGGCTCTGTACATATGTAATCTTAAAAGAAAGAAGAGAAAAGAGAGACTGGGCTCTGAAAGTGTTGTTCTTAGAGTGTTTGGGTTCCTGTACTCTTGAGCATAGTCATTGGGCATATTCTTCAATCACCTATATTGCCTTTTATGTTTCACAGCAGTGTGACTAGGTAGGACTGCATATTGATGAACCATTTATGGCAGTTAAGCTTTATCTTTGAGAAAAACCTTGCAACTTGGCTGCTAGGATTGTATGTGACACCTCTTACAGCATTTGGATAAGATTGCATTAACACATTATTGAATGTGCTGTAGATTCATCATTTTTTTTTTTCTAATTAGGAAAGAAATTAACTGTGGTAGTTTTCTGAAGTTCTAAGTTAATGGTGAATACATAGAGACGCTAGTGTTCTATGAACAAGCATCTTATGCTGTAATTGTCATTAAGTGTGAGATACCAAAAAAAATTATTAAATTTTTTTTTTCTGAGCAACCATTGTCCATTTATTGATACTTTCTGATCAAACACACTTGAATTAACTTATATTGGAGAAGTACCCTTTGTGCAATAGCCATGTCCATTTGTGCCTGTAAAGTTGTAGCAATTTAATTAATTCCTGTAGCTGTTTGATAGCTATAATATTTGCTAATTTTAAATTATTCAAAGAAGAACTTCACAACATTGGCTGCAAATAGATTTTTGATAAAAAAGTTTACTCTATTCTTTGATATTTTTTGCTATGAGGTTGTAGAATTTTATGGATTATCCAATGTGCTAGTGGTATTCTGGATAATTTTCTTTTTCCGGAGCTTTTCTGATGAGGACAATGCAGGTGGATGGTTCTTTTCATTCACCAGAGTGGCATGCTGCTCGTTTAGCCAGCCTTAAAACTTCTCATACGGTCACCTGGGAAGAGTTTAAAAAGAAACAAAAGGTAAGCTATAGTGATATTTCCCCTTGTTTTTGTCATCTTGACTTGTTGCAAAAGTTGCCAAAGTATTTATGAATTCGTATTTACTTGTATAAAGTGGCATACCAGATTAATCATGTGTTTCTGTTTTTTTTTTTTTTTTTTGATTTGGGGAAGTGGGATTCAAACCTTGCTCTTTAGACAGGGGGATCATGCACCAACCAATGAGCCAAATGCTCGGGTGCAATTATGTGTTTTTGTTATTGATCAAGCATATGCCAATGTGCATCTGTGTGAAAATATCAAGAATTGATTGAACTCCAAAATTTTTTTGTATATAAACATACAATGCAGTATTTAGATGACTTCAATCTCTGAAAATGACCCATGATAGACACCTGCTTTTTCCGTAATTATTAGTTGAATGTATGGTGTTATTAATTTTAGTGCTAAAGGATAAAAACTATATAGCAGTTGATTAATTTGGCAATCTGGTGCATTAGAGAGAAGCTTGCTGCTTTGCTTTTAATTCTTTGTGAGTTAGTTGACTAAAGTAATGTCCAATTAAGCATTATTAGTCAATCACAACCATGCTGTAGTGATACTAGTTTCAAACATCAATAATTGAGCTGCGTTTGGCTGAGATTCAACAACTAAGCTCCAAGAAATTAAATCAAGGAAGAACACAAATGAGGCACTAAGCTGGTAAGGAGATTCCTTAAATTTGAAGGAGGTGTTGTGTTGAAGTTATTTTGTTTTATTTGCTAACTATAATGAGCATAACACTACTGTGTGGATTAGTCAACTAGTCAATCATAACTATGCCATAGTGATACTAGTTTCAAATATCAATAATTGAGCTGCATTACTGAGATTTAAGAACTTAGCTCCAAGAAATGAAATCAGGGAAGAACAGAGATGAAGCACTGAGCTGGTAAGGAGATTCCTTAAATTTGAAGAAGGTGCTATGTTGAAGTTATTCTGTTTTATTCGCTAAAGATGACGAGCATAACACTACTTTCTGGATTAAGCTGGTCATTTATTGCTTTGCTAGGCCAGCAGTCTATCGGATTGTCATAAACAACATGATTTCTAATGTGGGTTCTAACATCATTTTGTGTATTTTGTTAATATGCTAGGAAGATGCATTGAGAAAGGGGGAATTAGAAGCAGATACAGATCGAATGATGAGAGAGTATAGAGCTCAGCTAGATGCTGAAAGGGCACGCAAGCTTGCACATGGTAGAAATCACTCCAGTAAGTCTAACCATAAAAAAGGTATGTGTAAAAGGCCTTAAGGAGGCCAGTTCTTTCATGCTTGTGTTATAGTTACTTGCTCTCTAAGGGTGTTGAATTCATTGCAGATCGAAAAGACAAAGATGCAAAGAAACGCAGCAGCAGAAAGAGAAAGGTACCTATAGTTTCTAATAACTTTATGTTTTGAATTTTATGTTTAAATTGCATGTAAACTGAAAAAGAGGATGATAAACTTGAGATTTTCATTTTAATATGCAATTTATTTTTAGTTTTTTCCCCCTGCTATCCATGAAGAGATTAGAAAGCATCGTTAAGCTCTGCATCTATATATCTGTCACCTGTAAAAGGGAAGCTCTATATCTGTGCATGTAAATCCCAAAAAAATTGTTTCTACTTGAGGTAGGACTATATTTGCATTTGCTGAAGCTTTCTCTAATTGTGGAAGTTTAATGCAACAATTTGGAAGTCGTTGTGGTGTGTTGGAGTTGAAAAACTTTGTGTAAAGGAGACTCATGGTGAGTAAATGTGGTGCTACTGAGTACTGAGTCAATGGAAAAGTGTCAGATAGTTGGATGAGTTGGCTTATTATCCAACTGTTGAGGTTATTGATTACAGAAAAGAGTTTGCCATGGTATTATTTATGTTGGGAGTAATATTATCTCTTTGAAAGTGTCATTTCCCAGATCTGTTTTCTATTGCTGAGGAAAAAGATGCTCTGATTTCTGGCTACTTGTGGTGGTGAGCGGGCAGTAATAAAGGAATGACATCTGAATTATGAGAAAGCCACTCAAGATTGGGAATTGGATAATGGAGTCTTGTAAATTGCCTTTATGAACAGTATCAAAGAAGAGGATGTGTTAAGCTGGAGACAAACTGGGGATTAAGTTGTTGACATCTTATTACAAGTGTTTGAGTCTAGATTAGGAGCCAACAGCCTTGGAGCATGTGATGGACAGGTTTCCTCTAAGCATTGGAGGTAGCAGGATTTCAACATGAGAATTTAGTGAAGAGTGAAAATTTACTGCCATATGGCTAAAGCAGCAGGGAATTTGTGAACAATCTTCCTTTGGTTTCTCTAAATTAGTATGTATTTCAGCTTTTTGTGTTTGGTAAGTTAGGCTAGAAAAAGTTTAGCATATTTAGAAGTCAGAGGGGAGTGGGGGAGTGGTGGGTAGTATGGTTGCCTGGAAACGGTCTTTGATGGTGTACATGGGAGGAGAGGATCAAATGAATACTTGATTGAATCTTCTATCTGGTAGGCTAAGAGCATGGTGAACCTTTTGGGTCTTTCATGGACCATTTTTATGTCTTGGGAAATCAGATATTAGCTGAAATTGATGGACCATAATTAGGACAGAAGCATCAGTATGAAACAGAATTAGAGCCCAAATTTTATTACTCATTATTATTATCATGAAGATGCAAACTGAAGCAGACTTGTTAAACCTTGACTTTGCAGCGTTCAAGACAGAGGTGCTCTGAGTCTAGCTCCTCCAGTTCATCCTCAGAATCTTCAAGTAGTGATGATGAAGAGAGAGAATCAAGAAGATCGAAGTCTAAGTCTAAGAGAGATAGGAGGAAGAAGCACAAATCAAGAAGTAAGAACTCGAGCACTGATAACGAAGAAGCTGAAGGTCCTGTGCCACTTTCAAGATTTTTTGAGAGTGTGAAGAGTTGATGGCATGATAAGGATACTGTTTGTGTACTTGATACAGATTTCCTGCAATAGAAGATGATTTTTCTGCCATCTTTATTAACTAGAAGCATGTAATGATGTTTAATTCCTTTGTTTTTCTACTGTAGTTGGGTTTTGATTTCTGCTTCATTTCTACATGTAACTGAATGATATCATTCACTTGACGAATTGTATGATATGGATTTGTTTGAAACCTGTTTCATTTCTTCAAAAGCATTCGAGGGGTTCCTTAGACTCAAATTAACAAACGCTTAGCTAATATGTACCAAATGGTTTAATTGGTCATCTGTAGAATGGCCACTGAAGAGTTTTAGTGGTGAAAGCAATGGCTTCAAGTGTCATCAGGTGTCACTCATGGAGCGTTTCACATAATCAAACTCATAGCATCTTCCCCACAACCAAGTTTCTAGAATAATGATAGACAAATTGAAATAAATGTTGCAGCCTAAATATTATCATATCCGAGATTGAATGTTACCGCATCAATGTCTCACGCATGCAGGTATATGTAACGGTTAAAACTTTGCATTAAGTCAAGCTTTTACAAGGGAAAAGAGGGGAGAAGGCTGTACGAGAATGTGAGCTACTCTCCGTAACGTAGGACTTTCGAAGGGAAAAGATATAGACACGAGAGTCGAAAGTTGGTTCCATTCAACAGATAAAACAACAAAAGAAATCAAGAGAGCCGGTACAAACACCAATATACCTGTTCTGTTTTCCTGCATTCTGCCCATAAGCAAATATCTCAATTCAAGGGCCATCCTGTTCTGGATGGAACATATATACAGGAAGAAATCAATCACCACTACTACATAAAGCATTTTTAACCACACTGATCAAAGCCACGACAAATAAATGGCATATGACTCATCACTAATGCAGATACTCTGGGTTGAATGCAAGTGCCTCCCGATAGATCAGCTCCTTCATCTGCTCCTCAGTTAATGCATGCTGCTCAAAGTCGAAGCTAAAGGGGGTCAGGCAGACAGGTTCATCACTAATGTCATGCAGTGATGTTAGGTAGGGATGAGCAAGTGCAGCCTCAACTGCAACAAATTGGAAATAGTATTTCATGAGTTCCAACTAAGAATAGAAAATGATAAAGATTGAAGACATTGCAGCATGGCATCAGCTAGAGAAAGACAATAACAACTAACCTAACTATAACCATTTCGCATGGATTGGCATGAGAGAATTGTGAAAAAGTATAACACAAACTGAATAATATATGATGTGCCAAAAGCATCACAAAAAGTATATGCGAGAGACAGACTTTTTTTATTTTCACCAAACTCACCAGTAATCCTTTGTCTGGGATCAAATGTCAACATCTTTTCAACAAGATCAATAGCTAAAGGGTGGACACTTGGAAACTTTTCAGTGAAAGACTGCCGGCGATAAAGAGGAAGTTGCCGAATGTATCTCTTAGCATTTTCATTCAAAAACCCCAACTCAGCCTCTGATGGGGTGCCAATCAGCTGCAAGGCAAAAGTTCATTATTCAAAGTGAAAATATGACACGCATTTTTTAGTTTATGATTTTACCTCTTTCTTTTCAGTGAAATTAAAAAAAATTCTTTTTTCAAATAGTAAGTTCATTCAATTAAATGTATAGGTGGAAAAATCTAACTTGTTCCATAGAACAGAACTCACGAAATTGAACCCAACTATAACCCAATAATATAGTAAAAAAGTCTAACATGAACCAGAATTGACCCAAAGATATCTCAAACCTGAAATAACATGATATTTGACATAACCCGACTTAAAGTAACCTAAAACTTAAAAGGACTTGACATTTTGTGCTGACCCAAACAAGATTGACCCAAAAAAAAAGTTGATTCAATATATTTAAATGGTGCACAATCCAAAAATAAAAAGTAAGAACAATTAAAAATGTATGCAAGGTGATAAAAAAAATTAAAAACTTTAAGAAGATATATATGGGTTTAAAAGATTTAATTATTTGAGAAATAAATATATTAAAACATGTGAAAGAGAGAAACTATAGTGATCGAACTTCATGTAGAGTAAGACACTTGTACAGTTTTTATATTTTATTTTAACTATATATTAAGATCTATACATTTATTTTAGTTTTATCTCATTATTAGGGAAACCAATTTTAATTTAAGATTAACTTTTATATCATAAGTTTATTTGATTATTTATTTATTGTTAAATGTAAGTTTCTTTCTCCAAGTAAAAAAATTGATGCTATATATAAACGATAATTCTTAGATCCTTTAGTTGTATTTTTATAAATTGCTTTATATACATAATAACTAAAAGAACATCTCAAGGTGACTTGAAATGACCCAAAATTCAAAATGACCCGACATGTGACGTAATCTGAACTTAACTTGACCTCACTCAAAATGACTCAAAACTCGTAATAACCCGATGATTGAACTCGAAAATGACCCGAAACTGTAATTACTTGACCTGAAACCGACTTGACCCACCTGGTTGCCACCTATAATTAGATGTATAGGAATTTACAGAATAACGTTTTCGAATATGCCCTGATCTTGAGAACAAGCATCTGTCATCTTTAATTTTTCAATAATTTCCAGCCATTTTCATTCTTTAAAACTGCTTCACAGATTAATGTAGAAGCTTCTTTTATGTAAGAAAGAACAGAAAACAGTGTTTCCTTTTTAATATGTCATATGCAAATATAAATAGCTAAGAGAACCCCAAATATGCCCCACGGAATGCTGTTTCCAAGGCAAATTTAAATTCATTCAAGAAGAAACTCCCATAAATAAAAGAAAGGAAGATAATCAAGGAATGCTATCAATGAAAACAGCAGATCCATTTTTCCCCTAAAATGCTCGCGGCATCCTATTTAGCAGCTTGTTTGCATTTTAGATAATTTTATAGTGGTTAGGAGACAAACAGAACTTACCTCCATAAGCAGTCGCAGCTGATGCACATGATCCCTTCCAGGAAATAATGGCTTCCGATCCATCAATTCCATAAAAATGCAACCCACTGACCATACATCGATGGCTGCAGTATAATCTGAAGAGTTTAACAATAGTTCTGGTGCACGATACCATCTTGTAACAACATATTCTGTCATAAAATCACTTTCAGAGGTGACACGAGCCAGTCCAAAATCACATATTTTCAAGTCACAATTAGCATTCAGGAGAAGATTGCTAGGTTTTAAGTCTCTGTGCAGAACATTTGCAGAGTGTATATACTTCAGCCCCCGTAGGATTTGATAGAGAAAATACTGCAAAGCACAAAAAAAAAGTCAGTTTGATGTTAAGGCTCATATAGCAACCCTTAAAACAAGGGCACTTTCAACTTAGGTACTGTTCATTTGTTGCTTTTGTTACTCAGTTTTCCTTCCAGAAGCAAAAAGCAAAAACCACATGTGGAAACAAAACCAAACAATACTCTTCACAAATTTTAAATTAAAATATAATTTTGGAAAATAAAATGCAAAGTTTCTTGTATATAGAACAATTATGTTAGAAATGGTGTTGCATTTAGTCATTTGTTCATTTTTAATCAATTACCATTTCCTTCTACTTCGATAGTTTTCTATCTAAAACACAAACATTTTTAAGATTAAAATTACTGGAACTATCCACATGTGAATAAATAAAATTTCATTTAAATGAGAACAAATTTAAGGGTTACTTTATTTTTTGGCAATTATGCTTTTCTTTGGAATTGAATAAATAAACTCTAGCCCTAGGTGTGAAGCCTCTGGGACCTTGGGACCTTAAACTTGAAACCTAAGAAAATCAAGGGAAGAAGCCTATGATATCTTTCTTCTAGGCTTGTTATTTAAATTTCAGCAATCATTCAGATCGAAATCAACCCTGACAAAGCCATCTATCAAAGTCTATACTAACCCACATCGGTTAACCCTTCAAAATAACCTTTAAATCAAGGTCACTGTTCATTGGTGCCAAGCAACATCCATACAACTTCATAAAACTTCTAACTTCTCAATCCAATATTTAAACTATAGCATATTCCTTCAGAAACCTCATTTGTCAACATATTCACTCCTCTTCCCTTCAATAAGAAAAGATATTAGCTTTCAACCCCTAGACTGCATGTTGTCCCACATCAAGTACCAACATTTTGACAACTTGATGCAGTCCTCTCCCTCTGTCCTGTGTATCTGCTTTGGCATCAACCTCAAAAACAGATCTAAGAGCACAAGCACTATTAAGATTGTACAAATTGGGTAAGACATCCAATATGGAAGCATAGAGCAAGATAGAAAGCCAATATATCTGTATTGCAATTCCAAACTCACATTCAGAACCAATAAACTCGCAAACAGATTATTCTTTTCATGATAATGCTCAAAAGAAAGCCTAGATAGAGAAATCCTCCATGAATTGCCTTCATAAGCCAGCAGCAACTAACCTACATTTCGCTGAACTCTGCAGCGAAGTCAACATATTCAATGTTTCCAAAAGCATTTCAAAGCCACACATATATCAGAAAAAACTACAATAATTAGGAAGGTTGGCCAACCATCTATTCTGACTAAAAGCATGTAAAATGGGGATGGTACGGTCAACTTGTCTAGAAAAGTTTGCAAGGAAAGAAGAAAAATTTGAGACAAGCTTCTCCAGGAAAGGAACATCATTATGAACCAAACCACAGTAAAAAATGACTCAACAAAATACTTAAGCTGTTAATTACCCATCTTGCAAAACAAGGAAGCTCATTCTGCAAAAAAATGACATACACTAATTTAGCTCTCTGAAAGCTTAAGAAACTTCTCTATGCCATATTTGTCAAGTGCGATAGAGGGGTACATTCAAACTATTAATTTAATGAATATTACTGTATCATAAAAAGCAACCATGTCTATATTTGAACCTGACAATGCTCTTCTGATAAGGCTTGATTAGAACGGATTATCTGGTGCAGGTCAGTGTCCATCAGCTCATATGCAATATAAACATCATTAAAGCTTTCCCTCTGGGGTGGTGGAATAATGTCCCTGATTGCAACTACCTGCATAAGACATGCACATGAGGCTAACTAACAAAGATAACATAATGATTCTGTTCTTCTAGGTCTCTCTCTCTCTCTCTCTCTCTCTCTCTCTCGTTATATATATATATATATATATATATATATATATTGTGTGTATTCAAAACTACACAAAAAGATATTGGCACCAAGAAAGAACATGATATAACCAATTAATGTCAAAGGTTACACGGTAAGGTAAGGTTTAAACAAAAATCACTAGCGATAGCATTATCCATGCAAACACAAATCTACAAAAAGACTTCATCAACCTGAACAACCAAACAACTAAATTGGACCCAAAGAAGACTTATTGCAGCCTCTGAAAGATGGAACGATACTGTTTTAAAACTATGAAGTACAATTTTAGGTAAGGGCCTTGAGGCTCATTATTATGATTTATGATTCAACATCCCCATCTAAAATGTAAAAGAAATACTGCAAGGGTTACATAAAAAAATCTCACTTTTTGTTCTTCGCTAAAGGAAGATTCCTAAATACTTTATGTTGGCATAACTACGACTTACCATAATATATATCCCTCCTCTTCAGTCCCCATGTAGCATGAGGAACACGCAATGTCTTTGGTAATTATAGAAAAAAGTATTAACTATATCTGTGCAAAGCTTGGATATTCCTGGAAATTGGACGACGCTAATGAATAAGATGAGCCACTTTCATATGAAATAATACCCAAGCATAGCCCATAAGTGAACCTCAAGATATTATTAACTCTAACCCTGTCAACTTCTCGACTTATGGTTTATTTAAATGATTGGCAAGCCTATGTTTCTCCCACTCTTCATTCTTCTTTTTCTAAAGTATCTATACCGGACACCTAACCAACACCTCAAAGTAAAAAATGGAAATGGGTTGCTCATCCTCCAAATATAAGGAGAAACTTGGAAAAAATAGAATGCAACTATTTCAGATACACTCTCAAGAACGAGTAACACAGCGGTAAACAATCGTTATAACCAAAAAAGAAAATAAAACCAAGCGGAGAAAGAATTAATAACAAGTGAATTGAATTGAAAGCAAGTTCAAAGAAACCGAAAGAAAAATAAAAAGAAGCAACAAGATTCCACTCACTGACGTTTTCATGATCCATGTGGCGAAGCAGCTTGATTTCACGAAGAGTTCTCTTTGCATCAATCTTGTTATCAAACGCATTCGCTATCTTCTTTAATGCCACGTGCTCATTCGTCTCGGAATTCAATGCAGAACTAACCCCCCAATAATTGGAAAAAAAAAAAGATTAACAAAATCGCCATTCATTAATTAACAAAAATCAATCCATAACTAAAAAGAAATTAAATAGACAATCAAAAGAAAGAGGAAAGATACCAAACGATGCCGTAGGCTCCTTTACCGATGGGCATGATAGGGGGTTTATATTTAGCAGTGACCTCAAAAATGTTCCCAAATATATTGTACTGAATAAACCTGCCGCCGTGGCTGAGAGTGGCCGGAATGTTTTCCATTTGCGGCGGCTGTTGCTGGTTTTGTGGGTCGGGTTGCTGCGGCTGCTGAGAGTGGGGCGGTTGGCCTGCTTCCGTCATCTCGGTGTCCGCCGGCTGAGGTGGTCCTCCGCCTTCCATTCTATTCTTTTTTTGTTTTTGGCTAAAAAGAAGAAAAAGAAACCGCTGTGGGTGGGTGGATGCGTGTTCTTTTATTGGTCAATGGATCTAAGTCTAGAACGCTTTCTTCTTCTTCCTTTTTTTTTTTTTTTCTCACTCTTTCGTTTGCGCTTCTGCGTGAAATTTATTATCTCAACCTTATATTTTCCTGCAGACGAAACTGGTGCTGCCGTGTTCCGTCCTTTTCCTTCTTTCATTTCTTTTTAATTTCATTTTTTAAAGCTTTTTTTTTCCATGGTGGCAATATATTACTATTTCTAATACGTATTCCAAGCAAAATATTTTTCTTTTTCATTACCTTAATTTGAATTTAATTTTTTCTTTTTTGAATATTTGGATTTTTATTAGTTAAAAATATGGAAGGTGTATATTTTTTTGGGTATGATTAAATTTAAGTCTTCTTTTAGATATAAAAGACTATATATAGACAGATTCAAGACAATTAAATATGTACAATAAAGCTTACAAGTTCTTTTTTAACTAAGTTTACATGGAAGGGAGAATGAGACTATAAAAGATAAAGATTTTATATAGACCGCAACATCGATTTAAATAAGTTTAGATTTAAGTTAATTAATTTTATGTATTAATTGCATCGATGGATTTAAATGTGTTTAATTGATTTAAAATTCATCTAAAACATGATTAATTAATTGTGCCATTGTGTTTTCATATAACTTACAACTTGTTTATTATTTATTTATTTAACCGTATTCATGTATTGAGTAGATGCATTTAATGTACAGTTAAAACTTGTTCATTGACTTGTATAAATACTACTATAATTATTAATATCTTATATTTATATGACATGATTAAATACAAAAATATGAATTATTAGATCTAATTTCATATAAAAAATGATAAATCATAAATCAATTACTTTTAGAGGTTATATGGGAAACTTCAATTCAGAAAACCGATTTAATATAATCTTTGAAGTGATAATGCCTTACTTTACTTTATTAATACACTTTTCTAATTGCAAAAAAAAGAAAAGAAAACCATAACTTTTGGCAAATTGAGTTAGTTTAATGTGTTTGAACATTTTTCGAAAATAATAAAAAAAAAGAAGTGTTAGAAAAATTGGGAGCATGTTTCCTACTATTATTATATTGTAAAATGCAAAGGCGGCAATACCTTATTGGATAATGCCACCAACAAAGATATGACATTTTCATGGTAAAAAAGCCTACAATGAATATGACATGTCAATGGTATAATCTTCTATCCCCAGTTTCTTAGTAATTTCTTTCAACTAGCTATTATTACTCATGCCTGCTAATGTTGTTGATAAACCAAACTCTTCACATTACGTCAAAGAAATATTTATATAGTTCAATTATGATAGTCAACAAACTTTTAGTTGGAATTTGCCAAATGTTGAAAAGATTCTATAAACATTTGTTAAAAGTGATATTTATAGAAAAAAAATTGAAATTAATATATGCATTTCTTTAAAAAAATTGATGAAAATAATATATTAAATAAAAAATATTTTTTAAAAATAAAAAATTAATAAATCTTAACAAGAATTTATATTAAACTCTTTTGACATACTAAAGTGCTGGATATCCTAATTTAATGAGTTGAATTTGAGTCTACTCTTTTCCCAAAAATGATACTAGTTGATCAAAAAATATTTCTATATACAAAGAAGAAAAATTGCAAACAGTTCCCATTTGGTGCAAATTGAAACGCAATAATTACCATATAATAGGGATGATTGAATCAATGTAAATAGTGTCATTAGGCAAGACTCTTATGGCGGCGGCTTCCGCTCCAGATTCAATGATACCTAACTTTTGCAAATAGTAAAATAATGGTAATCAGTATACCAAATCAACATGTGATTCTATAGCATATAGTTGAACTTTTGTGTACCCTAAATTATATATATAGTGCAATCACTTTTGAAGAAATTCAAGGAAGAAAGAAAAGGAGATTCCAAGAATTAAATCTTTACACTTTCTTAATAAAGAAATAATAATAGTTTAGGGTAAACTTGAATCGGTGTTAAGAATTTCTAACTAAAGTATGCATAGAAAAATTCTTGTAATTCATGTATGCACAAAAATGTAGGAGTGGGTACAATTACAGCTAATAACACTTCTCTTCTTCCCTTTTAATACTCTGTCTTCTTGAGTTTAACAAATATAAACTAGTGCAATCACACCACCAAATGGGAAGGAAAATGAGATCTTTAAACTTCCAATTGCACATCAATCTTTTTATTACTGGATTAAATCCCTATTGCCCTAAGCATCTTCTTACACCCATTCTATAATAACTAAAAGCTTGTCCTTTTTTCCACAACAAATATAAAAAAGTTTGTGTGTTTACCCTCAAAAGTGACAGTCACATGCTTGATTGCCCCCATTACACCTTTCTTCATTAAGAAAGGGTTATCCTCAAAATGAGTGATTACTGTCCACTTAAAAGCTCACTAGCTATGAAGTTAGATAAAAAGTGATGGAAAAAAGGTAATGTTGTAACTTACGAGCGTGCAATTCAAGCAGGTAATAAAACTGCACATTCTGATTCCTAGAACCGGTGCTTCTTATTATGAAAATTTTAATTAATGAAAGGTTGATTCAATCGATAAATTCATTTTGTCTCAATGATGAATGATTTTTAGATTTAACTGTTATTTGTGAATTTTTTATTAACCTTAATTTCTAATGCGCAATCTTAGATCTTATAAAATAAGACATTATATTTTACCTTGGAAGATTGAATAACAAATCTACCTCCAAATTTTTTCATAAAACAGAAAAGACAAAAAATCTGAAATTAGGTAGCCAAAGATTATATTCTTTAATTTTGATTCATGTTATCTATATATTCATGTATTTAATTTACAAATATACAGGCAGAAAGTCCTATTTCCTTCAATAGCATTGAGTTTTTAAGCAGGGCTGTGGTGGTTTTTCTCTCTTCTGGATCTAATCGTTATGGTGGGATGAACTCAAGTCCCTTGCTAGACACTCAAGTAAACCATGTAGTTTAGATATTCCTTGGGATCTAATATAACCAATTCTCCACAATGATCAAACAGGAAGCACAGAGCAAATGGACTAAAGGTGCTACACGCCTACTTGTTATCATGCCTTTCGGAGCATCAATTGTTCTAAAGATGGGATTCTCATAATTAGAGGATAAAATTTGCCATTAATTTAGTATATGAACCTGGAGAGACATTGATGCAAAGTTTGCTGCTAGTCAATCTTGAAATCTGCAGCAACTGACTGTAAGGATTGACTTGCAGGATATCATATCGTGAAGAATGAAAGCACAAGGCTGCAAATTGATGAGATCTTCAATGGCAGTGATCATACCTATTAAGAATTGTCAGCTAGATATGACCACAAAGAGAGGTGTGAGAGATCCCAATTAAATTAATTAGATGATAGAGAATAAACAAAGTGGGAAAGTGAACTTTTTATGGTTATTCATTGAACGTATTGCCAAATGACAAACATCATAAAGCATCCAACAAAGATAACATGACAGGAACCCAATTCTCTAATAAAACAAACTTAATTGATCTTGAGCTAGTGACAGGTGTAACAGTCATTCCTTTCGTCTCTTTTTCCCTTTATGTTTTCCATGACATTGGGAACTAAATTTGAATCAAGATATTTCAATCAAATCATATATTATAAAACATCACCCTGGCCAAAGTGTCCAGTGCCCTTGAATTTTTCAATTTGTTTTGGATTAGGTTCTGCCCTTTTGACCCACCATGCACAGGTCAGAATGTAGTCTGTAGAACTTACTGCTTGGGAAAGCAATTTCTTTCTTGAAGATCTGAAAATCAAGCATCTATATAGAAAATTAGCAACACGTGAACAATAACTTATGCCCTTCTTCAAATATCAACCTAAAATGTCAGGGAAACCAAAATTTAGAAGGATGACATGTTGATCTGATTAACATTCAAGCATTTTATGGAGTACGGGTACCATACACAGAGAGAGAAGGGGTGTTAAGGAATGTTCTTCAATGGCATTTGAAATGTACAGAAACAACTGCAGGGCAATATGATGCCTGATGCAACTAGATGAAAGGGAACTTTCAGTGAGAAATTTATATCTTGACCAGCCATTGATTTAAATTCATACTCAACCAGTCAGCTTTTTCACTACCACTGTGAGGGCTTATCATTTGACCTTAAGGCACTAGCATAGTAACAGAACATATATAATTTCTGCAGTCTCTAACTTAGAAATAGGAAATAGCTGTTGTCTGTAAATGAATTTGTTGTTGCCTGAAATTCTTTAAACATATGTTTTGCTATTTTCTAATTTTAACATCAATTTATATTGATTTACATACCACGTCAGATCTTTAACGTGTGCATAACTTTGTTGGGCAACTATAGCTGTTTATTTATTTGAATGAAGAATTTCTTTGAAACTAATGTATTGCCAACTTTTGCATGTGCTGTTTAAACCATTTTAAGAGGTCTCATTACCTAAAATTTTTAAACCAAAATGAGTTCATAAATGTAAATTATGTAAAATGGGACAGCAAAAGGAAGAGCATTTACCAGAACTTAATTCTACCATGTGAATGCTGGTAACACATATGTTGGACATGCATCATATTTGGATGCAAGGGCCTGTACAGAGGATATATCTGCAACTTGTCCAAAACTATGGAGTCCAAGTTCAGTTGCATGGATCCCTCCAGTGATAAATACTGACTGGATTCCAGCTGCATTTGCACCTTTAATGTCATGATGAAGAGAGTCACCCACAGCAATAGAATCAGAAGCATCCACACCGACCATTGCCATAGCTGATTCATATATTATCTGATAGATAATGAACAAGTGTAAACAAAAGTGACAGTGGCAATAAGGAAAAAGTTAATCAATACAAGATGAAAACAGCAATGTTAAACAGAATTAGTCGTTACCACCCGTGAACATTTGAAGATAAAACAGTCATATTATATGCTTACTGAATTACTCCTCTGATGCTAAAGTTCAAAAAAAGATACAACCATCCGCTTTACAAAATTACGTTGAATAATCGTAAAGAAAACAAATATGTCATACTTTTGATTCAGGCAAACATTATTTGATTGCATAGAAGCACCGATCAGATAGAACTCAGCTTGTACAATTTTAAATTAACTGGAACCCAAAAAAAATTATGTATTAACTAGTACAATTTTAAATTACGCAGCCATGGATGGATTTACACTGGAACTAGTTAGGGCCAAAATATCAAGGTATTATTGCCAGGATATCACAAAATTTCATAATATCTACTCTTTGCTGAGAATAATTTAAAACACAGAACACATACACGTATGTCTGCAAGTATGTATGTATGTAGGTATATCAAGTTATAAATATTCCAAAATACTTGATAATACAGGCATGATATTAAAGAAAGGACAATTGTGCCATTTGTTTATTTAATATGTACTACTGAAAATCTTGTATAAGTCTTTGTGTATGATGGTGCAGTGGGGGAAGAAATGGGAGGGGGAGGGTGGTCCCGGTAGGGTTTGAATTTGGAAACAGTCTCATATATGCCTCACAGTCATGACTACTGGCAAAACAAACCAACTTGATTCAAGCTCCATGCTTACAAGCCCCACAACCAATGCCAGTTACTGACTGTGCCATATTCGTTTAACAAGGAGAAAAAACTGTGAATGATATGTGATTTTTGATATCTTAAGATAGAATTAAGAAGGTAAAGCAAACACAAAATAAAATTCTATAATAACCACCAGAAGAGGTATTATGTACAAATGTGTACGGTTGGCAGAGTAAGCTTGCATACCTGTTTGTTAGAGCAAAGACACGGCAAGAGCATACATATCCATAGATACTAAGAAGAGAAAAAATATGTAACAACTATGAAGAAAAGAATTATTGTATCACCTTATCTGGCTTCCCCATCCATTTCACTTCACCACCAAGCTTTTCGTATTTGGCTGCCAATGTACCTAAGACATAAACCAAAATGGTTTAAAAATCTTTCATGCATGACAGTAGAGGAACTCAGGAACTCAACCCTTTTTGCAACATGCTAGCATAATGAAATAACCTCAACCAAGTAATCCAGGAGCATAGAAGGGCTTGCTGGAGCAGGGAATCTATATGATTGACAATTATTTTTTCATTAACAAAATTGAACATAGAAAAGGTACTTATTGCGATTGATGCAAGGAAAAAAAAGTATCATTTTATAGAATACAATATACAAGTAACAGCATCGATGGTATAAATGAGCTGAACCAAAATTTAGCAGACATGAATCACCATAATTGAAGTTGATCTGAGGTCGCTTTAAGAATGCATAAATAACAATTCTTTGGATCTTTTGGCATCTAAGAGAAGCTCCAGCTCTTTCATATTTGCAGTAGACTGAAGCGATATTGATGAATGAAATGATAAATCATAGAAAAACCAAAATTTGTCTAAAGGAAACTGCAAAACCTTGATTAAGTAAGATTTAAATTAACCTTAGCAAGGCCTTAGAGACTACAAATCAAACAGGATATTAACTGATGTTTATTTAGTTTCAAGATGATAAATCAAGAAATGACATTTCCTCGTACATTGCTATGACGATAAGAATTTAATAGAAAGTTCACATGTACAAACAAAAGCGATAGCTATTAATAGGTTTCAACAATCTGAGGGCAATATAAATTGGAGATCTGGAAAATGATTGAAAGGACATAAACTGAAATAGAAAAAGATGATCTGCATTACAAAAGCTAAAACGGAGACATGCTTTGGCATGCTGAAAGAAAATGCATCCATTTACCGATATATGATGATAATTGTGTACTCAATTATGGATGAATTGTTTCATAATTCCCATAGTGCAAGTAGTAATATAATTTAAATTGCTATTATTATCCTTCAACCTACTTCTATCATTGCATATATCTTTACCAGGCATGATACTCAAAGCTCTAGCTTCAACAGTCACAAAGTCTGGATTAGCAACCACCATGGGGATCTTTTTAGTTGCACAACACTCCAATATTTTCTCAAGACCCTCAAGATTCATAGGACATACAACACCTGATGGAAGCCCCAAGGCTTCAGTGCCATGAGCCAAGATAAAATCAGCTTCTTCAACATTCTCCACAACTTGTAAGCCCAAACCCTACAAGAATAAATTTGTATGTAATGATATGTTAATTTGATACTCAGAGCATTGTTGAAACTGCTCATGAAGTCTGAATACTATTACTTAGCAGAAATGGAGAGGATAAAAGTGTTTGTGCTTGGCACATCAATGGATGGACTAAGTGTGTAATTCTCTTTGAAAGTGTGATACCCCATCTCACATTGGATGTGAGTGTGATTGTTAAGAATTACATAAAGATCTACATCAATTACTACTAATAACTTGAGATTAAACTTTTAAGAGCTGCGTGGTGCTTGACATTAGCTTATTACAACTGGTATAAGAGCATATGTCAATTCAGTGTGGGCTTTCATATTGCACTAGTGAGATCTCGATTTTGTGGAGTGGGTCTTGATTGTGATTGTGATATGCAGACATCAAGGATTTGATTGGGTGGGATTTTCGTACCCCATCTTACATTGGATGTGAATGTGATTGCTAGACTTATATAAGGATCCAAAGTCAATCGACAATAGTAATTTGAGCTTAAGCTTTTGAGGGCCATGTGGTTTAGGCTTGAAAAGTTGTAGGGCCAATGGTGCTTGGATCTAAGTTGATGCAAAAAGTCAATGGCTAAAGCCATTGTTCAACAAAGACCAATCCATAGGAAATGGTCCTCAATAGTCAACAGGTTACTAGTAGAGTAATTAGTTGAGTTTTGGTGCCTAGGAGCATTTTGGCAATTTTTAATGTAGTTGCCAATTATGACCCATTTGGTCATACATGCATACTTCTAGGGAGCTGCAGTAGCCATAAATCTAATTTGAAGGATATGCACATGATAGTTTACAAACTTGTCCAAAACTCAGAAGGTAAACTTTTAGCTTTCAAGGCATACTGGATGTTGAGGAAGATAATAAAACAGGAAGAAGGAAAGTCATGAAATGCTCAAAACAGTTTGCATACCTCAAGAGATATAGCACCCCTGTCACTCCAGGTCATATGAATGCAAGACCTTCCAAGTGCAGCAAACCAGGCATTGTCTCTCCTAAATGTAATAAAATACAGGGAAAATCTTGAGATGTATGTTGTAGCTTTCAAAAGTAAACATTCAAATAAAAGCAGCATACAATATTGCAGTTGCAATTGGATAATTTAAACCATGAGAAGAAACATGCTGACAACCCATAGACAAAAACTATTTTTAAGGTTTAAAAAAATTGTAACCTACTTTTTTTTAATAAAAAACTGTAAAACAGGAATCATTCATGTTAAACACTGCATGGAATTCAGAGGTTATGCCTCAAACTTATAGCTATATTTTCCTGCCCTACAAATTTGGTCCTACTGATCTAATGCATACTGAGAAAACTTGAGCGACAGATGGAAACTACAAACAGGATTAGACTAGTCAAATATGAAAATAGATTCAAGCATCAATGACAATTATAGACATTGGAGATTTCTCTGTATGTGAGAATAAGATATATAATAATTAACCTTTGCAAGTACTGATGAGTTAATTCTCCACTGGTGATGGCTCCTGCAAAGAGAGAAGGATCAAATCCTAGGTTCTTCATTTTCTCAATTGTTGTTGATGCACGTCTTGAGGAATTACTTATAATCACCATCTTGGCACCAGTAGTTGCCAGCTTTTCCACTGTCACCCAAAAGGATTTAATCTTTTAGGTGAAAAAAAAAAAGCACTAACAGTCTAACATGCACCTCACCTAACATGTAAACATTTCACTGTATCAGCAAGAAACAAGCTTACTGAAATGCCAAAACTCACAGATGAAAACATACATGTTGAAATAGCGCCTGGGTAAGGTTGTTTGCCATCATGAAGGACTCCAAATTGATCCAAGAACCATGCCTGTGTAAACATCACATAATTAGCCGAAATCAACAAATGTGTGCAACAATATGTATCAGTACTTGCTTTTTTCAATTAAAAATGCCTACAATCCTTGGACAATTTAGTGTCAATCTAGATTTTGGAAATTTTTAAAGTGCATTGGCATTTCCTGGACAGTAAAATCCTACTCCATGACACCAATTCTTTTGGGATATTGCAGAAGAGCTGTTCAAGACTCAAACATCTCTAACCTTGATAGATTTTTAATCCATGAAGCATGTTGATAAATGCAAACAGCCAGTAGCCAGGTCTAAGCATCTTGTAGATACGAATCACATTCCTTAAAAGAGATCATCCTAATTAGCTAATTAACTGATTTGGTTGGCATCCAAACCAGCTACTTTTCCTTCTCTGATACTTGAGATGATTAATTTATTTTATTTTTGAGCAAATTATAGTTTCTGCGACAAATTCAAAATCTCATAACACAAAACATGCATTTTTGTTATCCATCGAACTTCAATTTATAAATTTTCAAAATCTTCCAAAAATATTGTTTACTTCTGTTCCAAAGGGTATTTTTGCTTTTCGCTTCCAGAATCAAAGCAATTAGCATTAAGAAACATTGAATCAAATTGTTCATAAATTGGAGATAAAAGTAGAAAATCTATTTAACTATAACTCAACTATCCAAATTACAGCTAAAATTAATATTTTGATTAACTAAAGCTACTTTAAATTTTCCGTAATCCAAAGATTAATAAAACAATAATTCAGAATACAGATTTCAAAATTGAAAAAAACTACAAAAAAAAAACTGGAAAATTAACTAACATTTGGTACCTTGAAACGACACGTTTCGGCAAGGTATTGAAGACCATTGAAGCTCTGAAAGAGAGGTTCAACGGATGGAGCAATTGAGCAATTGGCCATCATTTGCCAACACAGCAATATAGCAATTTCGCCTTTTTATTTAAAAGAAAGGTGACTTTGAAAAAAAAAGGTAGTTGCTGTTGACATGTAAATTTGCTCTTGAAAATAATTACTCTGTATTTTTTTAGTGTCCAATAATGAAATTTGCATAAAGTTGAGAGGGTAATTTAGGGAAAGGGTAAAACTGATTATTCATTTTATTTGGGGCATCCAGCTGGCCATGTTCAAATGGCGTGACAGAGAGTTAGCAATAAGCAGGCTCTTAAAAATCGCCACGTGGAGGGTCCAGATACCATGTCTCTCTCACCGCTCTAGCGAGCTTGGGCCAGCTCTTACATTTGGGCCATCAATGCCACGTATCTAAAGACTTTCTGCCATGAGGTCGAGTATGGTTCCTCTATGTTTATTCTTTGTTTTTTAAAATTGAAAATTTAATGTTTGAAAGTATTTTTATATTTTTTAAATATGAATAATTTTTCAAATATTTTTAAAATTTGAGAAAATTGAAATGATAAATCAAAATATTTCAAATTCAAATCCATGTGTAAATTTTATCAAATCAAAATATAAATTATTTTTAAGTTTAATAATTTATCTTTTTTATATGATAAAATTATAAATATAATTGTATTTGAAATCATGAATTTTACATTGATTCTATATTAAAATAAGATTAGACATTTAAAGTATCATATCATTTTTAACTTATAAGGTATTTTTGGTAAGATAAAACTACGAGGTTAGTAGACCAAGGTAAATAATACCTTGCAAGTATGCAAGTTAGTGTAGTTTTTTTTTTTATCACGCGTATTAATAATAAAAATAATAAATATCTAGTAAATAGTAACATCTTGGTTCAGTTGGAAAAGAAGTCTTTTTTATTTTACCAATTCTAACATTTCTTATTTGAGAATCTCAAAAGAATATTTTTATTATATTTTTCAAAAATGTAAAATGTTTAATAATAAATAGGTATAATGGTCAAATAAGTCTTTAAATTATTAAAAAAAATTTAAATAAGTCTTTATTATTTTATTACATTCAATTAAATCTCTATATCTTTTATTTCATATTAAATAAGTCATTATGATTGATAATTGACTAATTGTTATTAATTAAAATATTATTTATTATTTTATATTTACATGATATTAATATAGTATTGATGTGAAAGGTAAAAAATATCACATGGTCATATTATTATGTCAAATTAGTATGTTATGTTATCATTAATTATAATATATTAACATATTATATCATTATCAATTATAATAATTTAACATGTCACACCAATACTATTTAATATAAAATAATAAATAATATTTTAATTAAATTAATAATTAATTATAAAAATTTATTTAATATTTATTTGATTTAAAATAAAAATATAAAAATTTAATTAAATAAAATAAAAATATAAAATTTTTTAAAATTTTTTAAAATATTATGCCAAATAAATTCTTAATAAATAATAACATCTTACGATGATAAAAAAGTCATTTTGATTCTACCAATTTTGACATTTTTTGTTTGAAAATCTTGGAAGAATATTTGTGTTATGTTTTCAAAAATCTCAAAATGCTCCAACGAAGAGCAACAGCTACGATTAAAAATTTGGTTGAATTCATTAAAGATGGGTTCCTCCTTGACCTCCATCCTCCTCCTCATCACCAAGACCAAGAAAATGTGTCGGTGAATAAATTGCTTCTCAAAGAGCTTTTAGTTCACGATTCATGTACTATCACAATCCTTCTTGGTTGTATTTCTCGGTCGATGATGTTGTGGAAGAGCTGCAAGCCGCCTTCTTGAAACCGAGACTGATTATTGATGCGGCAATAAACGGTGCAAAGTGTGCCTTTAATTTGTGGGCGATGGTTCTATAAATATTTGAATTCATACTAATTTAAGTTGTAAAGTAAAGAACTAAAGTGACATTTAATATTTTACAATTCAATGTGATCACAGGTAATGTGATTGCAAGCAATGTGATTGTAAGGAAAATAACATTACAGTATTTAGTATATAGGTAAAATAATAATTAAAATACAGAAAAAATAACATTACAACATTTGATTTATAAGTACTATATTAAGAATGTAAGGTTAATTTTTAAAATTACTCTTAATTATTAAAATATAAGTTTAATATATTTATACTTTTTATTATTAATTTTTATATAATATCATATCTTAAATATATTTTAATATCATATATTTTATTTTTATTTATTATTATAATCTTTTATATTTTATTTTTATTATATTTATATTTTATTATTAATTTTTATATAATATCATATCTTAAATATATTTTTAATGTCATATATTTTATTTTTATTTATTATTATAATCTTATATATTTTATTTTTATTTTTTAATATATTTTTTATATTATATATTTTATTTTAATTTATTTTACTTATATTATATAAATTTTAATTTTTTATAGTTTATTTTATTTTAATTCTTGATTTTTATATTATATATTTTATTTTAATTATAATATTATAAAATTTTTTTCATAAAGTAATAAAGTTGAAGGGTAAAATTGTTTTTCAAAACATTATAGAGTGCAATGTAATGTGATTGTATTGATTTTAGACTGCAATCACATTACATCTTTTGGCTGTAATATGATTATATTGCAATCTTATATTGCATTGGTATGTTGTAAAATAAACACTACAATATAATTTAATTAGACAAATTACAAAAAATGTGTTCTCACTCTCTTTATATCAAACGTTACCTAAATGTAATCTTTAATGAAAAAGAAAAGGCAACAGTAGGGTAAGCTTTAAGTAAAGTCATTAAAATTTCATGAAGTTTTTTAATTAAAAATAATTAAATAAAAAATAAATTTGAATATATTTTGATATTTTAATTTGATTACTTGATATTTTTAATGAAAATTTTCGTAAAATTTTTATTTATTAACGTTTGTAAATATATTATATAAATAACAAATTAGCTAATTCTTTGTAACAATAAGCAACTGGAGCTTGGGTTTGGGCCTAGAGTTTGTTTAGAAATTAAGAAACATCTCGTACCATCCATTAAAAGGAAAAAACTAGAAACATTGCGAAACTCTTCCGACCCATTTAAACGCTAAAACAATAACCTGGGCTTCAGTCTGCGTCTGAGGAGGCCGCCGGTTCTTCTTCTTCTCCACTGCTGGCTGTAGGGTAAAACAGAATAAGAAAGCAAGAAAGAGAAATGGAAAGCAATAAAGAGAAATTAGTGGACGACGTCGGATCAGTTGTTGAAGCTATATCCGCTGATGTCGAAAACGCCGCTCCTCTTTATCAAGTCGAAAGTCTCTGCATGCGCTGCACCCGAAACGTATTCTTTCATCCATTTTTTGGTTAAAACAATTAATTCAACTCTTTTACCTTATTGTTTCAGTTTAATAGTAATTTTAATTTTGTTAACAGGGAACAACAAGGTTTTTATTGACTTCAATTCCACATTTTAGGAAGGTAATGGAAGTGCTTAATTTTCTTCTTCTTTTTTCTTTTAAAAAAATTTTGGATATTATTTTTAGTAATTAATGTTTTGGTTGCAGGTCTTGCTCTCAGCATTTGAATGCCCGCATTGTGGCGAGAGGTAATCTCTTTTTGCTATTAGTGCATAGTTTAAATTGAATTTTTTTTCAAAAGTTTGATTTTTTTCACGCTTCAAATTACACGTATAGGAATAATGAAGTTCAGTTTGCTGGTGAAATTCAACCGAGGGGATGTCATTACCGTTTGGCGGTTCAATCTGGAGATGAGAAGGTTGTCGTCATACTTGACTCATATAAAATGTTTGCAAATGATTATCATTGTCTGCTTTTATGTTCCCATTTTATATTGTTCATGTGTCTTTTATAATTTATCCACGACTTGAAGAAGCATTACCTCTAATAAGAGCACCATACTAATAAGTCTCTTTTAATGTAGATGTTTAATCGGCAAGTGGTGAAATCCGAGTCTGCGACCATAAAGGTACATTCCCTTGCAATGTCCTTAAACAAATCTTAGAGTTCTCTTTTACATAAAATTATTCAATATTCGCATATTGTATTTGACCATCAGCTTATAATTTTGTTGTTTATGTGCTTCATACATTACAAGATGAAATGTTGGAGTGGAAAATCTTCTACCAATGGGTTTTTTGAGATGATAAGAATTTAAAGTTGGATAAATGCTAAGCCAATTATATTTGTTTTCTTTCCTTGAATGATCCATCTTATCAGCACTAATGGGTTTGATGCATCAATTTCGTCAACAATGTTGTTTTCATATTTCATTTTTCAACAAATTACTTTCATTTTTATTTTACTTATTTTTATGATTATCATACTAAGGAGTGAATGTTGGATATCGGTATGTGTCTGGCACAAGTGCATTTGATTTTCCCTTATTTTTGGACAGTCAGACTCTGATATCCATACTCACTTTGAGGTGATGTGTCCAATATGGATACTTCAAGAAAAACAAATTGTCGGAGCAACGTAGTTTTATTTGATGATGAATCTTATTTTAGCCCATTTGAATGAATGTAGTGATGTTGTCAACAAACATGTGTTCTTTTTCATCTTTTACTAAATGGTTATACATACTCATTGGACACTTTACTTTGATTCTCCTGTCCTTGATGTGACATCAGCTCTAAATAATTCGATCTCTCTCTACCAAAACAACCTGTTGCAAAAAAAGGGTAGGCCTACACAAACATATGAAAAGGTTAGAGCTTTATTTCTAAAGTATAAGATCATAAAATGAGAGGTTTGCTAGTTTGGATTCGAATGTTGTACTGTTTGTGTTTGTATGTGGGAGAATTAACATTATAACTATATGAATCTATGCATGTATGTATAAGAATTTCCATTTGTTAAGTACTCAATCATAAGTGTTATCTTACATATTTTAGTTCTTTGCCCTGTCTTGGAAGATAAATAACTGACAGAACTTAGAATATTTATGTTATTCTTGCATTGCCATGATGCCTGATGAAGTCAAAGTGCAATATCATACAACTGTTTCTCTAATGTATATTTCTCAACTCAAATGTATCGATTTGTACTCTTTGTCTTATCTAGTTTATGTATACATGTAGATCCCTGAACTGGACTTTGAGATCCCTCCTGAGGCTCAACGCGGAAGTCTGTCAACAGTATTTACTTGAACCCTCTTGCCTAATTTGCTTATGCTGTAGTTAGATTTTGGGTGGTTCACTCCTATTTATCTGCTATGTGTTTTTTGGGTTTTCTTCTCTCTCCTAGTTTTGCAACCAACTCAGATACTGTCTGATGGTTCTAGGTGGAAGGAATATTGGTACGAGCTATAGATGGACTACAGGCCCTTCAAGAAGAGCGCAAGGTTCCTTTTGTGATTGCCATTCATTGTTGCCCGATGTTGCGTAGTTTTCAGTAGTTAACATGATTTTCTTTTCCTGGACAGAAGGTGGATCCTCAAACTGCAGAAGCAATAGACCAGTTTTTATTGAAGTTGAGAGCTTGTGCAACAGGAGAGTCACCCTTCACCTTCATCCTGGATGATCCTGCAGGAAACAGCTTTATTGAGAACCCGTAAGAGAAAAAAACTTTAATTAAGAAAACTCTATTTTAATGAAGTTTTTATGTTTGTTTTATGGACTTATACTTTAGGCATGATGGGTAGTTGACATGACAAGCTATTGCTTCCATAATGGATGATCAGAGTGTTTGTCCCAGGAAAAGTAATGAAGAATTTAAGTTACTTTTTTGCTGTTATTTCACTTGGATAAAACTTAATTGACTAGCACTTTTGGTTGGATTTGTGTTGGTGTTTAACTTGAAACCTTTGGCTTTATTTTAGCTTATATTAGAATATTGTAATGTCATCAGGTTTGCTCCATCTCCTGATCTATCATTGAGCATCAAGTTCTATGATCGAACTCCAGAACAACAAGCATTGTTAGGATATCTTGTTGACTCATCACAGATTATAGAGCCTACTGCTGGAGCATCTATGGAGGAAGCAAGCAATGCTGTTAATCAGATAAGACAAGCACATGGATCAGTTGGAGCAGTAGCTGGTCAAAGGGCCATTGCTCAGAGTAATAGTGCTGAAATGGCTGAGGCATTATTCCGATACTCTGCACCAGAAGAGGTAAGATAATTTCAAATGTTTCAATATGATTGGATTCATAGGGAGAAATCAAAAGAAGCAAATTAACAAGAGAGCTGCAGAAAAGTGATTTTCAGTGAAACAGGTTTTTCCTTGTTTGAATTTAGAAAAATAAAGAAAAAGAATGGAGAGAGAGGGATGATTTTAATAATAGAAAATTCCAGCCATGTGTTATTATTAAATTTAAGAATACATTGGTAAAATCTATACAAATATTTTAAGTGTCTGGTTTATTTTGGTTTCGTGTTAACTCCATTTTTTTTTATTATTCTATGAATTAGTTTGTAGTACTTTATTAAACTCAGTAATTTTTCCCATCTATTTATTCCCCCCCCCCATCTCTCTGTGTTTATATATTCAAAAATTATTACTTTCCTAACTTTTCACAGCTATTCTCTATTTGAATTCCAAAAGCAGTTTTATGTTAAAAAAAAAGAATATATTCATACACACACACACACACACATGCACGTGTGCCCATAAATTCTTGTTGCATAGGAGTGCATTAGTTAGTTGGATGTCTCTCAAAGTCTCCAGTTCTGGAGAGATTTAGAAAATGGATTTGAACTTTGAGAGAAATTGTGAGTGGCACTGGCACGTTGTTCTCTTCTTTTCACTTCTCTTCCAAATGTTGCTATTCACATGAAGAAAATTTTAACTTCTCAGAGTCCAAACACGCTTAATTTTATTGTGTATTAGAATTTGGCATTTTGTCTAGAATTCCTTTGTTCCTATTTTTTATATTACTTCTTTCTTGCTTCTTCAAATAGGTGATGACTTTCCCGTCAACATGTGGAGCTTGTGCCATTAAGTGTGAGACTCGGATGTTTGTAACCAGTATCCTTCTTAACATTTTCTATGATCGCACTTCTGGCAATATGATATTTCTCCTGTTTTTGGGCTATGAATAGTGAACATATCTTTTTGGCAGGTTTATTTGAAGTATCATCTGTTTCTAGCAATAATTTTGATTAAAAATGCATATTTATTTGTTCATCGTGCTCCCAATTTTCACCTTGCTCATATGAAGTATGCTAGTTATAGATGTTGTTGCGTTTCACTGTGGGAAGTATTTTCTTCATTTTAGTTATGCACTGGTGAAACTAGAGAATGCTTGGACAAACACTAAACTTGCTTCAATGCTTTGAAAAATTAAAGTTCTAGTCTTGCTCTCTACTGCATTGCTAACATTTGGGAAAAAGTTGATTTAAATAGTCCTGATTTCAGTTAAATAATTACATACGTCTGATTTCTCCATCTTTCTTTTTTTCTCCCATTTCTTTGGTTGCATGAGAACATCTTATGCTGTCACAGCTAAATTTCAAATTCCTTCAAGATGATTCATTCATATGTGCATTTAGAAGGTAGGCTGTAGCCCTTTACTATTATCCTCATTTGGTAGCGATTACGTAAGTTTGAATGAAAGGTGAAGCAGATTTTACTGTTTCTTAGTGAGATTCAATTTATATTCAACATGAGTGTCAATGCTTCTGTTGAGTTTGAAAGATGTGCGCATCTCAGATGTAAGGATTTGCTGTGATGATTTAATGATACATATATTCTATATTGTGATCATCAAGAGCACATATGCTCCCCTCCTGGCCCATGCATTAAAGATTTATTAGGTTTGTAAAGGCTGTTCGTCACAATTATGTGTGCCCGTACCTTGCTGTCTTGCCAAGTTAGCTATAAATTTTGTTGAGCTTAACCATGAACAGGAATTCCATATTTTCAAGAGGTTATTGTCATGGCATCCACTTGTGATGCTTGTGGATATCGAAATTCTGAGGTTGGTGGTGATTTTACTTGTACTACATTTTTGTCTCCCCTCCCCCCCCCAAAAAAAAAATTTAGTGGTTATTAACCATGCTTAGCTTGCAGATGAAGCCTGGTGGCCGAATTCCTGAGAAGGGAAAGAGAATTACCCTTCGTGTGAAAAACATTAATGATTTAAGCCGTGATGTTATAAAGGTTTGTTCTGATCTTGAACCCCAAAAACTAGTGCATTTGCTACTATTCTGGTATGTCTACTATCTAAGTTATATTCAGGCTAAAGCAGACTTCTCTCTGGGAAAGGGCGTAGCAGCAATTTGTAAATTGTGGACTTCTAGGATTCTGATGGACTGTGAATATTGTTTTCTTGGAGAAGAGTTGAAATGAGGACCTGATCCTTGAGGGCTTGCAGTAATTTGTAGGAGTGGTGTAGGGCAGCTAGGCTGGTAGTATTTAAGACAATTTTCTTATCTGAATACTTGAGGAAAATAGGAAAAATTAAATAAAGAAAAGCAAGAAAAAAAAGGAACAATGGCTACATACCTAGGGTTCCTTGATTGCATCACACAACCAAGAAGAAAGGAAACCTGAGCATCACACTTCGGGTTTCTTGGGAGTCAGACCTTAAGGTTGATTTCATCACACAATCACAATAGGGATAGTGCTTAAAAATCTTCAGAACCTTCTGTCCTTCCTCAGATAGAGTACATAAACAATTATTTGGGCTCCTAGCAGCCCTAATACTAAGAGGCTCAGTGGTTGGTGCATGTATGAGCAGGGCTTGGATCCCCTTTCCCCCTCCAAGCAAAAAAAAAAACTTATTCCAAATAGGTCATTTAGAAAAAAATACTTAATAATCCAAATAGAATACTAACAAACTTGACTTAACAATGAAATCTAATAGGTAAGGAAAAGCCAAGATAAAATCCTAAACCCTAAATGTAAACTTCCAGATCTATCCCTAAATTTACAAAATATTACAATGAAGCCCAATAATACAACAAAAGTAGCAAATAAATTATTAAGTTAACCCCTAAATTAGATTCTTTGCATTCTGCATCAAGGTCTAAAAACCAGTCTAAATATCATCAGGTTTCTAAGAAGCAGAACATTGTGAGTTACTAGTGCAAGGTCTCTAAATTGTCGCCAGTATTAAATTATTGTTAATGTTATAGCATGGAATTAGGCTGGGTCTTGAGACTGGAATCTAATGTGATTAGTGGAGTTTTACTCTTGTTCTGGTGCCTGTATATCTGCTTATCGCATTTGCTTTTCAAAGCTATTCTTTTTGGGGTAGGATAGGGGATGGCTATGGCCTTTTTAAATTCAAATCCATTCCAAGGATTTCTCCTATTTTGGCCATAGGAAATATTTTATTCTACGACCGTATTGCGTTCTCATATTGCTTTATTATGGTCATTAATGCAGTTTACATGCATTTAGCATATTAAATTAACATCATCATCATCCCCATCATTATCACCATAATTTTCTGCTACTAGTATTACATTAGGAGTCAAGCTGCCCTCATACATGTCATGAACATTTTTCCCTTGTCATATTTTCTATGTGCTATGGTAAGTTATCTGACATGCTGTCTTGTAAATGTATCAGTCAGATACTGCAAGTGTAAGAGTCCCAGAACTTGATTTGGAGCTAGCAAGTGGCACACTTGGTGGGATTGTTACAACAGTTGAAGGTTTGATTACAAAAATTAGTGAAAGTGAGTACCTCTTTCCTCTTTTGGTTTCTCCGTGAAGATTCTGTCTGCATCCGATTCTGTTATTGATAGTCCTCTTCCATCATTGTCTGCTAAGTTTGAGTGCTTCACCGTGGAATGCTCCTCTTGTCAACCTGGTTGATATGTGTTCCAGAACAGAGAGAGGCTAGATTTTTTGTCTGCTTGCTGATTCTGTTATTTACAGTCCTCTTCCACCATTGTTTTCTAAGTTTGAGCACTTCACCCAGGAATCGTTCTATCCTCAACCTGGTTTACATATCTAGAACAGAATGAGGCTAGTGTATGCTACTTTGTCCAGCTTAAGCCTCCATTTCTTAGCACAGCTAAAAGTTTTGCTTCATATGGTTGTTGAATGTCTGTTATCCCTCAAACTTCCCTCTGTTTACTTTGACATTTGTGTTTGATGTGCTTGTTCCAGTATCCCTGTCATGTTTCTTTCTGTTTGTATGTGTTTGGGGAAAAAAAAAGAAGGGGGTGTGAGGGAAGTTGAGCGGACAAGGCTTACTCATCTATCTCATGCATATTATGTTGTAACTTCATGATCTTTATGTGCAGGCCTTGAGAGAGTGCATGGATTTACTTTTGGAGATAGTCTTGATGACTCTAAAAAAAACAAGTGGCTAGACTTTAAAGCAAGGTTGAGCAAGGTACTACTTCATGTATATTTCATGTAATAGAACTGCATAGAATACAGTTCATTTCAGGTCTGCCTCAGTCAGTATGCCTGAATACTATTTGAATTTCCTGTTAAATATCCATATATTTGTGCTTGTCAATTAACAACTTATATTGAAATATGAAGCACCATGTTCATAATGCTGGATGACTGAATGCATTTAAAATCCAATGATAGATTGATATAACAATAAAACATGCGAACTTTGTAACAAAGGTTACTGCCTATGCTTCCTTGTTTCACTTTCACTTAAACAGCACATATGATCGATATTAGAGCTGACCTGAACCTAGAAAATCTGCCCAACCTGCTTGAACTCGATTTGACAGAAAACAAAGTCAACAACTTGTACCTGAAATGACCTGAGTGGAAAATGACCCAAACCGAAATTGACCTAATTCCAAAATGACCTAAATCTGAATAATCTGTCCAAATCTAATTTGGTTTGACATTAAAAATGTCAACAATTTGAACTTAAAATGACCTGAAATGATCTGACCCGAAGGGGCCCTACCCGATTCATCCAATTGCCACCCCTAATCCACGTTTGTTCTTTGTGTTTTTGCACCATGTCCACAGGACAGATACAGAGATATTTTACATCTGTTAGTCCTTGTATCTTGTTCCTTTGATGACACCTTTATCTGCCATGGGAATGGTGCAGGAACTTTCTATCTAAGTTGAGTGTAAATAAAATTAATTAAGTTGAGTGAGTGTTTTTCTCCCACTTTTGGAAGGATTGCATTTCAAGGGAATAGATGGGTACAAATTCGCCCATTCTCCTTTAGTCTCTCTGTTTTCCTCCTACCAAATGCAGGAAACAATGAAATAAAAATCCATTCTCCTGTCATCCCCTTTCCTTCCTGTTTCCCTCCTAGCAAACACTAGGCCTCGTGATGGTTGCAATTGACAGTCAGCAAGATGCTGATATGTAGCTTCTATGAGATGTATGAGTTTTTTGTTTTGATATGCCTTTGATTCTGTTCTACTTTTGTTTAAAACTAGTGGATGGAATTCAGCTCCAAGAGAGAGTCTAGCATTGGCTTCTACGAGACAATTTGTTTTCTGTAGTTAATGCTCCTGGATTTTTTTTTATTAAATTGCATTATTTAAAATCCATTAAAATTTTAGGACTAGTAGATTGCATAACTGTTGAAGTATCTTCAGTTTTTGCTTGTATAACGTTAAGAAATCCAATGAGACAAACATCAAATGATTAATACTTGTGTACGCTTTTATTTCATGAAAATGAAAATCTTAACCTTCTTCTCACAGTGGAACCTCCTTGCTATTTGCAGATTTTGAGCATGGCAGAGCCTTGGACTTTAATTCTGGATGATGCACTAGCTAATTCTTTTATTGCTCCAGCGACTGATGATATTAAAGATGACCACCAGTTAATGTGTAAGTTTTTTTTTCTACCAATAGTGACAAAATACTGCTGTCCTTCCTGCTGTTCTTTTGGTAAAATTTTTTGTTTGACTTGGGTGGACAATGACGTTTTCTTAGAAGGGAACTTCCACATTGGTTTAGTTCTGGTTCTGCATAGATCATTTGGATGGCCTTTACCATTTTATATGCTTTTTGGGAAGAAAATCATTTTTTTTTTTATTTTGGGGGGAGGGGGGGCGAGAGGGGGAATGGGGGTTGAATGCACTAATTCCAAGTGACATCAGTTCAGTTAGATAAATTACTTAAAAGACCAAAATGCACTAATTCCAATAACATAAAATTAGGGGTATTTATGTCTTTTTATGTGGAAAAACACCTTTTTCTTTCTCTTAAAACACCAATTTTTTTATCTTTTAAAAAAGAACTTTTTTTTTTTTTCCTTCTCCACCCACATGGTGGATCTGCCAAAATCTACTTAGTTTTATAATTCTGGATTGTTATCCTTATTTTTGTTTCGATTTATATTTGGATACTCATGGGGCTTTTTAATTTAGTGTTCTGTATAATTTTGGGGAAAAAGGGTTAGGGGCACCAAAAGGGAAGATAGGGCATGTATTGGAGGGAAGAACAAGATTTGAACTGAATTTCACGACCTACTTTTGCTTATTTATATTTTGGTTCTCGTTATGAATTTACTCTCACGGATTGATTGGTGCTTTTCCCTTATACATATGAAAAATTGGATTGTTTCTGCAGTTGAGGAATATGAGAGGTCATGGGAACAGAACGACGAGTTGGGTCTCAATGACATGGACACCTCTTCAGCTGATGCTGCATACAACTCAACAGGGGTAATGTCAATGTAGAAAACAGAAGAATGACTCCTACCATCTGTGTGAGAATATTTGTCACTTTTTCTTATTTTAACCATCTTTGGGGCCGGTGGCAACATTGTTGTGCAAACTATTCAGACTGGCTCCTGGAACAATGTTTTCAAGGAGCCAGAGTGCAATTTTGAGGAGTCATACTTGTGCAATCATATATTACTAGTGTAAACTATTCTGGATTGGATTTGATTTTGATTTCACTGCTTGTCATTCTTGGCCTAAGTATTGCTGCTAGATGGTTACCCTTGAGAAACACGAGGACAGAGAGGATGGATCCTTGAGTTGGGTAAAACAAGACAACTCTTTAATGGCAACCACTGGTTCTAAAATGGAATGTTCCAGGCTGGATTGTTCTCACCCTTATTTCTTTTGATAGTCAAACTAGTCTTTAACTCGTTCTTACCTCCTAACAATTGAACTAATGAGGAAGATATTTTGAAAAATGATATCTGTAAATCTATATATATGGTATTGCCTGTTTTGATTAAAAGGTATAAGTTTATATATATATATATATATATGCTTTGAGGTGAAATATTATAATGGTAACCACTCCCTTGCTTTTCCCAGTGTATCATTGCTTCCCTAGTGCTTGATGGAGCCACGAATTATTCTTTGCCTGAATTGAACTTTTGGAAAAGCCTTTGAATTGCGATTCGATGATATTTTCAGCATGGGGATGGATAACAATGCAAAACACCTTATATGGTTTTTATTTACTTGCCTTGACACGCTCGCTCCATAGTTCCTATATGGTTGGTTATACGCATTATGACAGTGTCATCTGGTGTCAAGACAAAGTGTGTTCACCTGCTCAGAGCAAGGGCTGGTGTGCTGCAGGAGGAGCTCAATTCTATCATCAAATCAGGTAGTGCTGGTGGTCTTTTACTCACTAGCCTCTTTTTATAATTTTTTTTCCACATAATATTAACTTTCATAAACACATTAAATGAAAATTATGTGCAATGAATTAAAGTTAATTTCCAAGAAAAAAGTATGTTTATTTTCTTGTTACAAGAAAATTTAAACATTAAAGTTTTTCAACTTAGAACTCATAAATGAAAATTTTGGTATATATATATATACACACACTCCATGGCTCTACCTTATTGATACCAAGCTATCCTTTGAAAAGAGAGTTAACAATGGCTCCGACACTTCTCTTCACACTGGTGCTAATCATCAGCAATACATGCAATCTGACGAGGGCTGCAACCTTCCCAAATGAATAACCACCAACCTCTTGGTTCTTACATTAACACTCATTTGGATGACCTTGATCAACACTTGCAGCCCCATTAAACCCAGAACACGACCAAAATTCCCTGCCGTTACCATCTTTGGTGATTTAACTGTGGATACAGGGAATAACAACAACATCAGCACATTATTTAAGGCCAATAAACCCCCGCACAAAAAAAAAAGATTTTGAATTTCAAAACCTCTCAACGTTAACGGTAACTACCCAAACCACCAAACCCCCGACAAGCCCCCTTCAACCAACCACCAGGAGCAGCCCCACCACCCTGCAACCTTTTCGGCCTGACTCTACAAAACCACTGTCCCTTTATCCCCATTCAGCCAAACTATCATCAACGCACAACAATTAGTCAACCAAATCAAGCAACAAATCAAAACAACAACCACCAAACCTTTCAATACCCCCCAGCGCAGCCGACCCCACAACGGAACCACCACCCAAAAGCCACAGATTAGGACTGGCGCTCATTACTCCATTCAGTTTTCATAGCTAACTAGAGCAGAAGGGTGACTAGGCAAAGTCTAAGGGAGGTGTTTGAAGCCTTGGTGAGGTCATCGGGTCAAAAGGGATAATACTTCATATGAGTTAGTGTGAATGATGATAGTTGATTATAAGCATTGGTGTAAACCATGAAAGTTGGTATCAGAAAAAACTCTTTTTGAGTGCTAATGATAGTGCCATTGTCCTCAATGGTCCATATTGAAATGGAGGGGAGGATGTCATGGTACGATAATAGAAATATAACTATATATGATAAAATTGCAAAGATTAAAGTAAATAATATTTCATAGAAATTGATGTAAACCGTGACAAAATAATTAGAAAACTTTATCACCTTAAACATAACTAGCGTTGTGCTATTATCTTTAGTGGGTCCTATTTAATAGAGTAATAATGAAAATATAACGGTTCGCATTACTTTCAACTTATAAAATTTTTTTTGTAGTATAAAATCGTGAAACTAACGAATCAAAATAGCACAATACCTCATAGAGTTGGTGTAGACTGTGACACAAAGACTAAAAAACTTTGTCAAGATAAACATAACTAGCAATGTGCCACTGTTTTTAGTAGGTTTTTGTTAAAATATGGTAAGATGTTACGATCAATATTTCACATGGGTTGATGTGAACTATGACACAAAGACTATAAAATTTTGTCAAGGTAAACATAAGTAGCAATGTGTCATTATCCTCAATAGGTTCTTGTTAAAGTGAGAGAGGATGTCATGGTCTACCAGATAATACCTTATAGAGGTTGATATGAACCGTGACATAAAAGTTAGAAAACTTTGTAAAGGTAAACATAACTAGCAATATGCCACTATCTTCAATGAGTCTTTGTTAAAGTAGGGAAGGATGTCACAGTTCTCATGTGGTCTACATTGAAACAAATTTTCAACTGAGAGTAGGAAGGATGTCATGATTCTAGAGAGGAAAACCATGAATCCTACATCAGTTATGTATTAGAGAGATACTGTGAATATAGGATCTGCATCATTTTTAACTTATAAGATTTTTTTTTGAGATAAAATCGTGAAATCAACGAACCAAAACAAATAATAAGTCATATGGTTAATATGAATCGTGACAGAAAACTTTGTCATGTATTTGCATTGCCTTTTTTGATTTCACGAAACAAATTCATAACAGTTCTAAATTTTTATATATGCAGCATAAGTGTTAAGAGTTAACTTTCAACGAATTCATCCCAAATAACTTGATTTAACAATCATTACTCACATCCACAGATAGGAGAGAAAAATCCAATCCTCAAACTAACCTAAAACAAATGTTAAGTCCAAAATTCTGAAACAAACTTAGTTTATATATTCAGTCACGTATTCTTCTTTATTGAACAAGACATGCCCAAAATGAATTAAAACTCTACTAAGTTGCTTATTGGAGTAGTACAGTTTTCCCTCTCGAAAGACGAGTATATTTTTCCAGCATTGATAATCTAAGACCACTATTCAGATGGTGATGGTGCATCGATAGGTTTGCCTTGCTCCCTCATCTTAGCTACAGCTTGTTTCATTGCTTCCTTCCTCTTCTTGCTAGCTAGTACTTTTGCCTGCACACCACTCACATTGGGGTCCTCTTTCTCCTCCGGTGGAGGAGGTGGAGGCCTTCTAGCTGCATTTGCAATCCGGTCACCAACATTCAAACCTAGCACTGCACCTGCCAAGCTCAATGTCACAGTCCTGCACCAAAGAACCCCCACAACACAATGTTGCATTGTTAGTATCAAACCATACAGTGAAGAAACATCAATATCTATATCTGTCTTTGCAATTATTTAATCTTTATCCAGAGAATTCATATCAGGTGATCTTTTTTCAGGAAATCTTGGTTATCACTTTTCTTTAATCCTACTCCTCCACATTGTATAACATTTAGATATAACTGATCATAGTTTCATCTCAATTTCGTGTCAGAAAACTATAATGTGCCTGTTTGAACCTCTAACTTTAACTTCAACACCAGAAGTGCAACAAGTTCAGTAAGTAAGAATCAGGAAAAGTTTCATTTGGTAATCCTCTTGTTTAAAAACAATATAAAGAATTAATTCTGCATGGCAGCAACCCAGAAAATGCACTTGGAGCCTGGGGAATGGGACAAAATTTCGTTCCCTTCACAAGTCACAAGTAACAAAAGAAATGAAGGATTAAACCCAAACATTTGAAGCCTTTTACGATTCTGTAAACTTTTCAGACAATCATACGCATTACTTGTGCAGTCGAAAGGCTTCAATATACAAACCTGCGATGAACAAGTTTATCATCTAAGACATGATTTGGTCTCTGGTGGCAAGCCCATACTCTGTGCAGTCCTAGACAAGGAATCTTCTTTGATTTGGCAATGGGTGTTGTTGCACTGGCTGGAACAGGAGTTAGTGAATGGGCCATTGACTCTGTATCGCACCCTTGGGGGGTTTGTTTAGATTCAAATGAAGATGAGAGAACATTTTCCTTGGAAGTCAAATTGTGATGTAGAATGAGACTAGGGAGTGGATAGTGCCTGTAGGTTTGGATGTAAACAGAAATGAAAATTCATTGGTTGGGACTGGATAAGGTTCTTTGGGTGTGGACCCTTTTTATGAGCTTTGATATCTATGTTTTCTCCTTACATTATCTTGCATCATAAACTTAAATACATGCCACCTCCGACCATAACAGACACCATGGAAGTACTAACAAGTTTCCTTCAGGGCATTACATATCTTGAATATAAGTTGGAAACTGTCCTTCGCAATAGGAGTTACTCCCTAACACGAGATATTGCTCACAATTTCCCTGCCTTCATTTGTTTATTAATTTACTATAGTCAAAGATCAAACTATTGTACTTAATAATAAGTTTAAGAAGGCAATTAAACATTCATATCACGAAGTAGGAAAAATAAAGGGCAATAGAAACATAACATTGATTACAAGATAACCCAAACCGAGCCAAATTCATTTATTATTAATCTAAACACGTACATTTTTTAATAAAATTAAAATAACTTTTTTAATAATGAAAAATCTTGCTTTAGTATGTTTTTAATAAATACCCAAATTCAAACAATTCAGTAGAGTTTCAATTTTCTATTTACAAACACAACCAAAAGCAAAAATGCACCCTAAATCACATGTTGCTATCAACTAAATGAGAAGATTATTGACTCATAATCATCAGCCAACCCGATGGAGTAACAGCACAAAATCGCAAAACTATGACAATGAATCCATTTTATCAAAACTGAAATTGCATTTCACAACAAAGTAAATATCCAAGAATCTAATAATTCTGTTACCCTCCAAAACTGCAAAAGTGCAGAAAGCCTAAACAAAAATGAGATGAAAAGTAGTTAAGTTCAACCTAAATAAAAGAAAAAAAACTTCAGAAACGTAATTTAGTTCTTGATAGAGCTGCAGGGCGTGCAGAGAGTATAACAAAAGAGGAATAACTTTGGTGCTTTGCGAGAACAGCATGCTACATTCAATCCTCATCCTCTGAAGCACCAGCAGCTGAATTAAGGGTGTGCAACCGTTCAATCAACTTAGCTTTCCTTTCCTCATATGTAAGCTTCTTCAAGTTGAACCTGCAATTACAAAGACAAACATGAAGACGGTAAGATACAAGCTTAATGGCATCCAATAATAAGGAAATTCACTACATACAAGCTACATGGCATCCAATCAAGTCACAGCACATGAAAACCAACCTCTTGTGCTCCTTGGGTGGCTCCTTTTCAGACTTCTTTGCAGTTGGGTCAGCACGGATGGCAGCATGAACTTTCTTGTACAAGGCCTCAAAATCATCTGCCTGAATGCCTCTCTTAATATACTCACTAAAGTGAGACTGATACTTCTCTGGCTCATCTTCCATCAAGGTCTAGAACACTCATATAAATAATAACAAAACTATTAGCATGCCAAAAAAAAAAGGATGAAAGAAAAATTAACTGATATCATTAAATTCCAAACAAGAGGTACTATTATGGATAGCATTTTTACCCTCATATATGCAGCAACATGGCCACCATAAAGGTACTTGCGGTGAACCTCAGCATCAAGTTGCTTGCTGTCCTTTGAAAACCCAGCAAACCTCTTGTCACTATGAGGAATATCCAAACCACCATCCAATGCTCCCTGTGAACAAGAAAAGCAAATTCAATTAACTTAAAAGTTTCAGGCTTTAGTAAATCAAAAACTATAATCCACTACATGAAATGGAAACCTAGGTGGCAATCACAAATGATTGCTTGAAACATATATCTTTGAAGAACATGTTGTCCAAGTCCAATCCAGTCATACGACATATAGTTACACCAAAGCAAAGATACGCTTGGAAATAACTAAAAAACCAACATCAAACACAATATTACAACAAAAAGGGGATGAAATTTTCAATATACTTCATTTATCTAAAAAGGATACAATTGCAAATTAGATGTTTTGTGATACCTTTAGAGCACCAAAAACACGATTGCCAGTGGTGGTCCTGATCAGTCCTACATCAAGGAGAGCACGGAATGGCCTCCTTGTGTCAGTTGGCTCAACAGAGAAGTCCTCTCCAGTTGCCTGGTAATACAAACCTTCAATAAAGAAACTATTCGAAAATAACAGTATCAATTCATTTTAACAGCATATCATAGCAGGATTATACATAGTTGACATACCTCCACATTGCCCTCATATTCATCATCCATTTCAAGCATCTTAAGGACACGACGGGCCACAAGCAATCCAGTGCAATAAGCTGGCCACATTTACACAAAGCATATGAGAAATGAATTGATCATAACAACACATAACTCAATTTAAGTAAATAAATAGTATACCTGCAGCATAGTTTGTAAGACCCACTTCAAGCCCATAATGAGGAAGCTCATGTGCATAAGCAGCAGCAAGAACCTGATCCCCAGCAATGCTAGCAGAAACTATTTGGGCAGTGATATCTTTGTTGGTCTAATATCATGGTTAAGTATTGAAATGCTAATAAAAATAGGTTCACAAACTCAAAAATGACTCATATAGCCAAATGTCAAATAACTTGAATGGAAACATCAGGATGAAAAAACATCCAAGACAGACTTATTAATCAGAACTCGGTACTTCAATTAGATTGCTCCCATATGTTATAATACAAACTAGCCTAATATTTCCATAATGCAACAAGTTGTGATTATAATAAAGAAAAGGCTAGCTAAAAATAGAAGAATTATGGAATATATGTTTGCTGAGCTAAAAGTATAACAATATTAGAATAGACAACTTTTAGGATACAAATCGCACAACAAAGCGGTACTTTGGAGTGTTGTACTTGTTCTTGTCTTGATTGATTAGGCGAATCCTAGCCCGGTAGTCTGTCTTTCCCTCTACAGATGAATTTATCAAATCATAACATCAGAAAGTCGCTCAAAAGACCAGAACATTAAATAACCGAAAATTAAATCTACCAATCACAACATAATCACACAGATAAATACCTCTCCTTCTCTTGTATTTAACCTGAAACCGCTTAAAGTAAGCCTTGGTTTTCTGCGACTTGACATAGGCCTACAATGACCAAAGAGAACATCCATTATTTTAGCCCTTTGTAGAATCAACAGCTACAAAACCCTTTAATTTTTGGTACAAATCGAAGATACAACATAACCCCAGGAATAAACCTAACCCGTTAAAAAGCAAATTGGACAGTAATTACTGGATGTTTGAAAAAGACCCAGATAAAAGGGAAAAGATCAGATTTCATTATATTCATGAACTTTCAACATCTAAAGAAATGAACTTTGCTAAAACCCTTCACAAAGAAGAAGCATTTTGCTGTTAAAAAGAGAAGCACATTTTTTATATATCGGACAGTGTTGAAGTTGGGAGAGCTTACCATTGTTGAAGCTTTGATCTGAAAGAGAGGAGTAGGAACAGAGGCAGAGAGTGAGAGACGGCCAAGAGACAGAGAGAAGGCGGAAGATATAAAGCGCACTTCAGATATTAAAAACCCTAGGAGAGAGGCCTTGATGGAGGGTACATCAACGGCTCAGATTTGATTTGATTTGCTTTTATGTGTGCTCTCTACTCTCTAGGGTTTTGTTTTGCTTTGTTTTGTGCGAGTGGATGGGTATTTTGGTCATTCCACTAATAATGGAATTTGTGTGCAAATGTTGGTGTGCCACGTAATTAACTAGTTTTATTGGATATTGGACTTCGAATAAAATCAAAATATTGCAAATTTAAGTGTTAATTGCTAATTGAAAATGAATAAATAATCTTATTGAAAAATTTCCAGTATTAGGATTTAAGTGATCATGAAAATAAGTAACCAAATATTAGAAATTTTCATTATGCACTTGCTTAGATTTAAGTTATTAAAACACAGATGTACTAATAAAGTAGAAATTATATGATATAATAAAGCAATACACATAGAAACGAATTTCCCTTTTTAGAGTCAAATCTTTCTTATCTTCACATGCTTTTGGATCTACTGGGTCTAAGTGGGCCTGTAAACCCATATGAAGTGTCTTGGGCCACAGAACTTGATTAATTTTTTTTATCGGTTATTTTACAAGAAATGTCTAAATTATTCTAACACGAATTCAAATAACAATTCAAAAAATTAATTAAATATTTATAAAATTCAAATACCTAATCAAATAATAAAATTCAGATTAAGATAAAAATAACAGATTTAGCACAACCAAGTTAATCTCCCCTATGTTATGTTGCCATCGCCTGGCAAGCAAGATATCATTTGATTGGCATTTTTCCTTACATCCAAAAGTAAAAGACATAAAAAAAAAAAGAAGAAGAAGTATGTTTCCACTCAAGAACCAATGATGGTTTTGAATAATTAAAAATTAAAAGTTTACTATCTATGAATAGCAACAGAAAGATACAGCATTAAAATTTCTCAAGGCTCATATAATTATTACACCAATGGATGTAATACAGTTAATGCTAATACTATACAACAACAAAAAAAATTATATGAATATGAAAATGAGCACAGAGAAACAAAATCAACCTTTAAAGCCGTTAAACTAATGTCAAACTGCAGAAAGGCTAGCCCACTTCCCAAGATCGTAAGGATCAGCATAGTAATACAGCTTGATTCTATTTGACAGAGACAAGCCTGCAGCAACAGGTGGAGCTCTAAAATTCGAATCATCCTGCTCCGCTGGATCGTCCATGAACGCTGCAACATCTCCGAGAAGTTTGAAAGAGATTCTGCGAGTTTGTAGTTGGCTAGGGAAATCAAAGTACATAGCTGTTCCTGGTTTGGCCTCTGGCAATCTGTATTCCGCAACAGACACCATGTTGTATCCTTCCTGTAAAACTATTCTAGTAAGTTTCCAAGGAAAATTTGGATCCACTCGTACACAATCTAAAACAAAATTATTTCATTAAGAAAGTAAGGACAGACCAAGAAAGTAGGCGTAAGTAGAGATAAAATGTAATCCTGAATATCATGCAGATACTTAATATTTTCTGAGAAAAAATTTGAGAAAGTAGCCAACACTGCTGAATAGACATGCAAATAGAAACCAAAATGAATTGGGATAGGCTTTGGTACCAAAACAAATGCTAAATAAATATGAGCAAGAATAAGTAATAAGCAACATGACTTATGCATGCTTGTATGGTAATCATCATCATTAATCAGCATGAAAACAATTTCTCTACTTTATTAATGTGGCAGCACTTTGTGCTACCACAGCCGATGTCCTTAAGCACAGTTGAATAAATAGGTATTATTTCACCCATAATAAGAAACTAAAACCAGGATTAAAGAAGACTAGGGGCTAACATGTAGTGTTAGCAGAGTCTAGAACTTAATTAAAATATTGTCTCGCAAGATTCAGCCACCAAGGAATCTATCCTTTTTCACTAAAATGTGCATTCCTCTAGAAAATGAAAGACGACAAAGTAAAGGTTGATAAAAGTTGAGGTACCAAACAATCTTTGATCTCTCCCATCAAGATGACAAACAAGGGAGAAGCAAACAAAAATAAAAAATGCCAAATCCTTCAAGCCCTCATCTCTTCCTTTCTCTCCGTCCAACTTCCCATATTCCCATCTCTTTCAAATCTAAAATGAGGGTCAGTACTACTAATATTATGCCGCACCTTATTGTACTTCCACCACCATAAATTACCCACGGAAAATTAACAAGCAGAACCATAAAGGCAGGCCTAACAGATACCTGGAGTGCAGATACTTGAATATATAGCACAGCTGGGGAGATCTGTCTGTCTTCTAAAAATGTTATTGATGTATCCCAGATATCTACATCTGAAGATGGTGAATGGGTAATTCGAGGCTTTATTGCGTTGAAAGCATCCAGTCGGAATCCAGCAAGCAATGGTGAAGATGGAGGCAGGTACTGCTCCAAGACCAGATCGTTGTTCATTAGCCTCTCAACCTCAATTGGAACCTGAAAGTGAACAAGGTTTAACATAGGCAATTTGCACACATGGTATGAACTTAGAGCAAAAAGTAGGAATTAGGCATAAACAGAGCATTGAAGCATAACTGTTACCTTGAATCTATTTAATTGGGGAGCTTGGTCCAACCAGTTTTTATAATTCATTTGGTCAGTGCTTTGCAACGATGTAAGTCCCATATCGTTTCTCACAGGGCTTCCAGCTATCACTATTCGTTTGGCATGAAGGTATGGATCACTTTCGATTGCTCCTCCAAAAGAGGCACGTCGAGTTTCTTGCGCAAAAGGATTTTCATCCAGAGACAAGAAATTAAAATCTTTATCAAAATTAACAGAGCTTGAACCTGGCCGCTGCAGGCGTAGTGTTATCCAAACAATGCGACATCTAACTGAATTCTTGAAAGTAAATTTTATATGCCGAGGCAACTTATCCTCTCTAGCTGACCTTTCAGGTCCATAAAATTCCGGTGAAGAGGTAATCAGGGACTGGACATCCCATTTTCCTACACAGGACCTTTCTTCCCTGTCTATTTTATTGCTTGCCCAAATTTGCACCTGTGTAACAATAGGAGAAAGTGTTCAAAAAATGCATTACCTTAAGAGAAGTTAAAAGGAATACCTTTTACAAATGACTTTGCCAGAAAAGAGGAAAAGAAAGTCATGGCCTATGAGACATGGAGCAATGAAACAACATGATACAGACACATTGAAACAGAAAACACAAAGAAATGGTAGGGCTTGACAACTGTAACAGCATAATAACCTCTGTAGCTATGCAATATGAAAGAATATAGTATGAATGACAGAAAAAAGAGGGCACAGCAACAGTAAGGGCAAAAGAACAAATGCAGCTCATGTATTAAAACATTATGCATAATTACGTTACCCATGAAAAACATCTAGTTCCAATCAACTCCTATGATAAAATTCTAACACTGCAATTTGTAGCTAAGTAAAATTACTATCTTGCATCTGATTCTAATTTAATAAGAAAATTCTAAGAATTAAAGAAAAAATGATTTAAGAATTAAATATTTTTGAAGCAAGCATATCTATGAGTCATTCTGAGCCATAAGAGCAATATCAAATTCGTTTCTTATTTAGAGGTCTTTGTTTGAATCTTAGGGAGGGGTAAGGGGATTTATGGGATGGGAGAAGGCTACCTACCTCACGTTGTAGCTCAAGCAATGGGCTTTCACATGCATAGAACAAAAAGAAAATTCATCCCTTTTTTATAGACATTGACATAGTTACAATAAAGTGTTTACTTCCAATAACGCAGTCAAGAGCACAATATTAGCACACTTAATTTAGTAGCGTCCATCTGAAACATTCCAAAGTACTGCTTAAGAGGTTTAGTCGTTTGATATATGTAGAAAAAACAGAGAGACACACATAGAGTACGATCATAGATGTGCCACACCATACTATGATGATAGTACAAGACACAGCATAATGAATATACAAGTTCTACAAGCTCAAGTTAATTTTTTGTTAATTGTTTAAATATTCAAATGTCTGAAGCTTATTATAGTTTCATCTTGCAAGCATTCATTAGTTAACCAAAATTGGTTTCATTGACAATCTGACGTTTTATCTCTGTTAAACTATGCTGGTCCGACTCTTCATTATCATGAAGTATTGTGAGTAACATGTATCTCAGTGGTGATATGGGCATCGAGATCTAATCCTCCAAATATAAAGAAAAACACAGAAAATACTGGCAACATCCAAGTCAGCCACATAACCATGCCTGAGCCTGAGCAACATAACTATCAAGGAAGGTGTACCCTAGCATTTTAACGTGTTTTTGATTCTGAAATAACATCAATAAAGGAGCTATGCTTCACAAGCATATCAGAAAGGCTCTCTGTGTAACAAAACCTTAACAGTTTCTAGAGAAAAACATAACAAAGACTAGAAACTAATTTAAAATTGTAACTAAAGCTCCACATTTGCTATATGGTAGTGACAGATAATTGAGAATAGCTACAATTTCAAATTGCTTCTAAGAATGGTACATTCATAACTAAGGCTTCATTATAGACACCAGTTAACCTAACCCATTTTAATTTAAAACGAAAAAATACACTAAGAAATGGGTATACTTACTGTGGGAGCATCAGCTTCAGAATAACCACATGGACTAACAAGCAATATGACTCCACTGACATCTGAAGAAGTGCCAAGAACAATAACAAATTCAACAGATGTAGTGTTAGGGGGAGCCTTCCAATATGAGTGTCGTGATCCAGAATCCAATGGAGTGAGTAACGACAAGAATGGTGCTGAATCTGTAGCTGTCTCAACCTACAGTTCATGATAAATGGTCAGATGCCAAGAAAACTAAATTAAAACATCTCAACATGGCTTTTCCAAAAAAAAAATCTCAACATGCTTCTCTACGGAATATGAAGCTAAATCTAGTAGCACGAAGATTACATGACAGTAACAAAAGATACCTATTCCTTAATCCTATTAAGGTATCCTTAAGAACAATAAAGCATTACATTTTTTCTACATGGCCAGTGCAACTTTTGAGACATGTCTATTATTTGTAGTACTAGACCAGTTTGATATTGGTGAAAGGGAGAAAAGTTTCAGTTTACCCGCCTTTCTTTTTCAATATTTTATACAATGATAATATCATGAACTTCTTTTAGAAGTTTTTGCTACAAAACTCAAATAATGATGAGCAAGCAGGGCAATGTAGTTAGATGCATGCTAGTCTTCTTTTAGTGGAAAGAATAACATTCCTAATTGATTCAGCTACCAAGAAGAAAAGACCTACCACTTATAAAAATAGGGTTAATTACAATTTGGTACCCAAACTATGGACCAATGGTCAATTTCCTTAACTCCATTAGAAGAATGTCTGCCGTGTCCCCCAACAGTCTATCAAAATGCACTGGCTGTTGGATTTTTATTGGCCATTGGGGACACGTCAAACTTTATGCTAAAAAAGTTAGTGGAATGTGCAATACGGTTAATGGAAGCATATTTCAAGTACCTAATTGCATATTTTTAAACTTAGGTATCAAAGTGGATATTTATGATTTGAGTACTAAATGCATTATTAACCCTAATCATGAACTCAAATAAGCACGAAGTACAGATAGGTTAATATTTTTAATGACGCAATAGATCATCACTAGAAGATGAAAGATACAATATGTTTCATAGCTTGGAAAGGTTATGGCAGACAAGAAGAATGAAGCAGCTGGAGCAGATAGAATCCGCCATATCCTTTCTTGATTTAAGCTGAACCAATTAATATAATTACTAGCAAACTCTCAATCAGGCCAAACTTAGTAAACCTGGTTATTTTAAGAGAACCATTCAACTTATCCAGACATTGCATCAATGAAAGAAAAATGCAATAAACATAAAAAAATAGAAGCCAAGGTTATACCGAATGTAGAAAGGTGGCAGATGGAAACTCAGCAAGTGATTCCTGCCCGGCAAGTAATTGTTTCAGAACTTTTACAGCTCGCTGATTATCAGAGGACTGATTCCTGTCAGAAAGGCCATCCAGGAATGAGGACCCTATAACCTCATCCAAAGCTGTATATGCTGCACTATCAGCAAGGGCTCTTCTTCGTGAGCTAATCAAGACCCTAACATAGTCCAAGCTCAATGCATCAAGAATTATCTCATGGCAGCACTGCTTGCAAATAACACTGTCCAGTGTCACTGAACGATTTGTAGAGAGATCAACTTGGCTACCATGACTTGATCCACCCTGACTTGACAAGCCATTATAATTTGTTGCCTCCCTTGTATAATTTGGCAGAAGAAGGGCTCCTCTTCCCGCACAACAAACTCTACAAGCCTTTCTCTCACATTGAGAACACAAGAAGACAGATTTTGAACCTTCTGTAGACGACACCATTGAGGAAGCAGATACAGTTGCCTTAGTCTCAGCACGCACTTCACTAGTCTCAGCACGCACTTCACACATGCCACCATAACAGTTCTCCCTAATTCTACTAATGTTCCAAAAATCTATAACACTATTCTCAATCTTCCCAAGACCAATAGCACCATTAATCTTGTCCTCAAGAGCAGCTTGCCCAAGCGATGCAAGGGTGCTCGCTACCCTGCACAATCTTCCCATGTATGATTCATCAAGTAAAAGATTTGGATTTACAGTAGCCGGATCAGTTCCAATTGACAACAAAGCTCTATCTCTTTCAGCTGCAGAAAGATTCAGCTGGAAACGTTCAATTTCCAAGTTCATTGCTTCAAGGAAGTCTAGCTTTCTTTCCTGCAAAATTGGATAATTGAATGAGCAAGTTTTATATTCTATCAGGTTGACAATTAGCACTTAAGAACTTGTATATTTATCTATCTTGCATAAATGTAATAAGTAGAATATATATATTCTCTAATCCTCCAAAGGTAGAATACACGCATCTAATCATGCTACGTCCACAATGAAAAATATTGAAAAGCCAATATGGTGAGCATTTTCCCAGTGTAAATACCAAGAGGAAAGGGTGGCGTATCCATAATATTTGCACCTTAATTGAGATGAGATGCTGCAATTCAGCTGAACAGGGAACTGAGGCCCATACTTAGGGAGATAGTCCATCATCTTTCACCTAATGTTGCTAGGAATTTATTCTCATTTTTGGTAATAGTTGGGTTATGCTTCAAAAAATCTGGCAGCTTTTAGCTAATTGCAGAAAAGTTAAAGGAAAAGTTCAAAATGATTGTGACAATAAAAATAAAATAAAATTCAGCATGTCTCTTGCAGAGTTTATAAAAGGGAAGATACTCTAGAGATTTTGATTGAGTGGAGCATTCACAATGGAGATCAAATCTAGCTTTCTGAATCATTTTCAAGGTTCTACACATTGACTAGTTTTTGCCTTCTGGGTTTTTTTATCTCAAGTCTACTTGACTGATATGCTAAAATTTAAGTTTTACAGTGGTTTTCATTAATACGGTTATTTATCAGCAAAGGAATGTTGGGATGAGGGCAGGGGAGGATCAGCTAAACGAGCAAATTCACATTAAATAATGGAGGCTTTAGAGATCATTCCATGTACAAGATGTCAAAGAATCCAGATAATAAAAATTCAAAGCTCTAAATTCTCACACTCTCTCTTGTGCATACATGCATACAAGTTGAACCAGGTAAGAGAGAAGTAACTCTATCTTTCCCTTTACCCCTCCCTTAACCTTTAAGCACTTTACTAAAACTATTTGTCTATATTAATATGTCCAGACTTTATATCGATTTACATATCATAATTAAAAAACCAGATATGTTCATAAGGATTTCATATAATAATTGCAAATGCTGATAAATATTTACGACCAAGTTATGAGCCAATTCGATACCAATCTCATATATTTGTTGCTAATTTTTTTTCATTGGCATTAAATTGCCAACACTCAACACTTTGACAATTGATATGACCATTTGAACCGATAAACCAAAGACTTAATCATAAATCAGATATTATGTTCAACACAGATATGATATGAGAATATCATCCCAGCATGCTCTTCTACGATCGATTCCTATTTACCTTCTATTTATAACATATGATGTTGAAAATAAAAAGATGCATCTGTAAACTCATTATAACACAGAGCAAGCACCTGATCAAGAACCATAAATGACGAAAGTTAAAAAATAAATGGAGACAACAAGAAATTATAAGTAGCATTGAATGACTCACTGAGAAAATAACTTCATGGAAGACAGCCATTAGGGTTTCACTAGGGTTTTATTCATATTTAGGCTTTTCATGAGTTTTCCCCAAACATACAAGGTTGTGGAAACATACAACAAGCAACGAGAAGTCACATACCAAATGTGGCCCTGCAAGGGATTTTAGACAGTTAATGTACTTCTGGGCACTACTCTCTTGAGGCCTCCCATCCTTCGATGTAGAGGATTTATGATCGATTTCAGGGGCATGGTAGTCAACAACAGCTTGGTCCAGAAAATCAAGCAACTCACCTCTGTCATAAGCTGCATTTGCTGTCATAGGCTGAGAGGCAGATTCAGAAAACACATCACCGCCAGTTAATAGGTCAACCAAATCATTGGCAGAACCCTGTTTTGCTGATGTTGACACGGTTTCATTGGATAGAGAAGTGCAAGAAAATGGGTTTGTGTCTGAACCAGACAAAAAAGGATTGGTTTCCTTTTGAAATTTCTTAGCAAGCTCAGTTAGTCTGGCACCATGCCCTTCATTACCAAATACTCCATTCCAGGGGAGAGAAACTCCAAGGATTTCTACCTACAAAAATTTTAAAACATACAGAATCATTCCGCAGCATTAGAACACTTTACTGCCTAAATCAAAAGTAAAAAGAAGAATGAAACAAATTAAAGGGGGATGGGGGAAGAAAATTAGAATAAATATGCAGAAATTTTCAAGCCAAGACAATTGCTGAAGACTGGAGAGAGAGAGAGAGAGAGAGAGAGATTATATCTAACAGAAGGAAATGGCACAGTAACGTTAACTGCATTTTCCCCTTGTGGTTATGAAAAGTATAAAGATGCCCATACAAAGGTTCTTGCTTAGTGGTCTACTCCATTAGCAGCTGTAATTTTTGTCCAATCCCCTTTATTCATCTGCCACTATACCTCTTCAAATACCCAATACATGCACATACTCAACACGAGTCCAGCAGATGCAAGTTAATTGTGAAATCAAGATGCAAATTTAGAATAAAAGACATAACAGTATATCAAGCAACATATTTTCTCAGAACTGCTTTCTACCTCACCAAGAGTCATAGGACTTCCAGAAGCAGCAGGATAAAATGTAAGGGCCACTACACGGGTAAGAAAGTCCAATTCTCCCTCTAATTCTTCAAAATCATACAATAATGATATAGGAGATGTAACTTGATCATGAAGGCGTGCACCAGCTCCAGTGACAGCCATGTCCTCTGCACTAATTGGGCCTGGTAAGGGAATCAGAAGATTTGTCCCATTTCCACACTGGGGTATGAAGGCCCCCTGTCAACACAGTTCTAAATAGGATTAGAACACTATTCAAACTAAAATAAATCAGCAAGGATGGAAAAGCTATGCTATTTTTGGGGGGGAAACTTTGAGAAAGAGATATTTAAAAGAAGTTGATACAAATTTCAAGGTAAATACGTTAAACTACAATCAAAAAAGGCAAACTGTGCTGGAAAACTTGCGGGGAAAGATGATATAAGTGAACAAACCTCGACAACCAATTTAAGCCCATCTAGGTTGCGCCCTGTCCTCACATCAACAGTTGAAGGAAAAGTTGAATCATCGGCGCCATGGGAAACTGTGAGTAGCAGCTGGCAGACATGGCAGGGTTCACCAAGATAGATAAAAAGTTCAACAACATCAGCAGCTTGGGGACAAACCTGCAAGAGAGTAGATGCATGCATTCTGATAAAGATAAAAACAACAATAGGAACAAGGGCTAAGAATGATATCTTCCCGCAGACAACAATTTCTAAGTTACAATTAGTTTTTCTAGATGATGAACAGGAAAACTGCAAGTACCCAGACTAGATCCTTTTTCTTGAAACTCAGTAGACTGGCTCCACCATTAGAAGTGCGGAACATACTGCCGACTGGCTTAAGAAGGAAACCAGGTGGTCGAGAAAGTACCTGTGATGAGCAGTATGATAAGTGATGTAGAAGGGCACATATATAACAGCAAAATCAGATATAACTTTCTTTTCAAATCAAATATTGCTTCTAGACAAGAATAAAAAACCTTTACGAGGAATAAAATTTTCACTTAAAACCAAAGCTCTAATAAATAAGTTAAAAACTACTTATCTTCCAAGAAATATGCATGATAATCCAAATACTAAACTGAGTATTCTCAACAGTACACTGAAAATCAATACTGAAGCCATTTACTAACTTATTGGCTTATAAACAATGAGCACTTAAACTAACTCACAAGATAGCAATGAACTTTGGTTTCAACAACAGAGTTTAGTATCCAAGGCCATATTCAATTGTTTAAGAAGGTTTCCTCAATCTACATAAAGCTAAATTGTCGGGAAAAAAAAAAGCAGTAAAAGAAAAGATTGATCATTTAATAGCAAGCCAGAGACAGTAAAGGGCTATCACTTCGTTCAGGTTGTCACAAATAAACCTGAAATCTAGGACAAAAACTAGAATTACATACATGCAGAGGTTGAACTGAAACAGATGGAAGATGCTTGAAGAGCCTTATTCCAAGGAACATCTCCAACTGCTTTTGACGAGAACTATCCACAAGTGCATTTTTATATCTCCTTTGAAGAGTTATTTTCATATTTTGTGCTGCAGAAAACTGCTTGAATTTTCCTGCTTCTTCATTAAAAATGCTTAGAATTTGGCTATGCATGGCTTTGGAACCTGTATACAGTGTTGCATGAATATCACCAGCAAGCAGGAAAAGATCTGCTAGCTGAGATACAGGTGATAAAATTGTTGATCTCTTGAACTCCTCAAATGTCATGTCAAATCTCTTCCATGGTTTGTCTGGGCATGGATGATTCCATGTTGTGGTCCTTGTATTGTGATCAATATAATAAGTTTTCCCTGTCACTGCATCAGATCGTTTCTCCCAGCCAGGTGGGAGTGGTGCAGTATACCCCCCATGGTTATTAATTGACTGGTAACCATATGCCAAATCACTATCAAGAGATATCCCAAGCCGCCTACACTGCTCAACAAACACTTGGAGTGCCCCAAAGTAACTAGCAGCATTGGTTCTATCCAAAGAATCTGCACAATTGAAACGTAACACACCATTTTGATGGGATCTTAAGCAGAATGCCCCTTCAAAGTGATCAGTGTAGATGATTTCACCTCTGCAGTCCTTAAGTCGCTGTCGCGAAGGCAAATAATCACCTTCAGAAATGCCTATAGCCAGGGTGGGTGTTTTTAGAAGCTTCCACAATTCTTCAATTGTTTGTTGTTCACCTTGTAACTTTATGCGGGCATGCCAGTCATAATTTATTAAATGAATTCGTGTATGAGGAAGTTTTCCAGTGGATCTAATATGGTTTAGTGATTCCACAAAATGCTGTACTAAAATGCATTCAGACCTTCCTTCTCCATTTCGAAGCAAGTTAACACATACAATTGGAACAAAAGCCTTTTTCTTCTCATTTTCCCCAATACCAACATCTAAGTTACGAGCATCATATCGTTTACTTAATCTTTGATAATACTGTGAGCTTCCTTTATAAGGATCCTGATCTGATACATAAATTTCTGCTTCAGCAGCAGTGATCTTTAGTTCTGCACCCCACCAGATTGGTATTGTGCCCCGTCGCCAAATGTATGTATTAAAAGGAATGCTCTGACCAGCTCTTTTAGGCACCCATACAAGTTGTTCGCACTCTACTTCGTTTCCTGTGAATATGAACATTCTTTATATGTTACAACAAAATTCATGCAATAATGAGACACCAGTACGATGAAAGTCATGATAAAATGAATAGTGATGCAAAATGAAATGACAAAAAAGTTAATTTAAACAAGAATAAGGAAACTCACCAGTACATGACATGACATGCAATACAAATATCAAAAGTACTATTAAAGATACAATAGGATGGAAACACCTGAAAAGAAGGTTTAATAATTTATTTGAATCTAAAATCAAGTCGGAGTTGCAAGTTTATACACATCTTGAACTAATTTTGACTGTTGTCATTCTGGTTGCTCAAAGTAATTTACCACAGATCCAGATATGGTCAAGCCAATTATGCCAGCATGATGTCAAAACATGTATAAAGCAAAAAAATTTGACAACACGTGCCATGCCACATCCCAGACATGTTACTTATGTGGATAATTACTCATCGTTGTAAACCAAAGAAACAATATAACCATGCACTGTTAGCTATTGTCAATCTCCTCCCAGCTGCAAGATAGATAAGTCAGTATGACATAAGGCATAAAATTGAAAAACAAAAAAGTGAACAAAAGATAAAAAAAGAAAAGAGTAGTTACAGTAAGAGAAGCGGTCAGTGACCATTTTTTAAATTTTGGTGAAAAAAAAATAATATCTTCATAATATAACAAATAACTGGAAAAATCTAAAAGAACAGGATCTGATTTTAAAACACATAAATAGATTATCTTACCTGTGCTAAAACATGAATTTATACCCCTAGCCAAGTATCGAGTACCAGGATGCAGCCTACTTCGACGAGCTAAGAGAGCAACAATCCCTTCAACCTGACCTGAACTACCAAAACTTCGACATTCTGCAAACCCCTATACATTAAATAAAGATGAGAGAACAAAATGGATCAATCAGGATACCATTCTAGATGCCCATGCTTCATTTTATTATCAAAAATCGTTAAAAAAGTTAACCAGAAACAAAGCTAGGAGCCTAGGAGAAGACAAATATGCATATATGAACATCATCCCCACCCCAAACCAGCCCCCTCCCCCCTTTCTACAACAACACGAAAAAAGAATAAATCAACTCAAAACTTTTTCTAATCATGAATTTTATGTGAACAAATTATTTGAAAGGAACAAATAATAGCAATGAGAGAAGAAAGAGAGAACAATGTCATAGGTATTAATAAAAAAACAATTACACAAAACAAAGATGTAAAAAAGAGTCTGGGATTTGATGTCAGGAAAATGAGAAATTTGTGGCCGTTCGATGTGTGACTGATTTAGACACAAAAAAGAGAGAATAGCTATTATTAAGTCTAAGTTTTATGCATCTTTTAAGTCAGTAAGTAGCAAAATTTAATTGCATTATATTGTTTAATATTAGAGTAAATCAGGCAGAAATTTTTAGACATCTGAAGCTTTGATTCATATGTTAAGTCATGTAGGCTATCAGGTTCTAATTCATCATTTAGAAGTTGTTTTAAGTCAATTTTGGTAGTTTCTATCACAGATGTCAAGTTCATGTAAGATTGGGATTAACCCCCCCCCCCCCCCTTTCTTTTTAGTCAGATTATGATTGCCTGAAGACCATATATATGCAGGTAACTTCTTTCAATAGACAAGAACAATTTTTAAGCAATTAGCTGTACTATGGGATTGTGAGAAGCAATCTTAACCCTGGCTATCAGCCTTCAGAACCTTAGAATGAAACCTGCGAAATCTAGCCCTATAGCCTAGAACTTATCTACTAAATTTCAGCACTACCATAACCTCAAAATGAACTGCTTTCAATAGATAAAGAACAATTTAAGCAATTATCTGTTCTTTGGGACTTCGGGACTGTGAGAAGCAACCCTAACCCTGGCTATGAGCCTTCGGGACCTTAGAAATGAAACCTAGGAAATATAGGCCTAAAGCCTAGATATCAAGTCAATTTTCAGCACTACTGCAAACCTATAACTGAACTTAAAACCAAGGTAGATCCCTTGTCACAAATCAGAGAATCCAACTTTAAAATAAAAAATTTACTGTTCAGTATATCAGGCAACAAATTGGCTTTCATAACCCCCATTTAATAGTACACCAATTCCTTCCAACAAAAAAAAATCTTCTCAAAATTTCCCGTTGATTTACGACCTAATAATCCTAACAATTAGCCTTAACACTCTAACTGGCCTACTTTCCTACGTTAGATGATACATATATTGTATTAATGGCTGAAGCAGCATTCTATTTATTGTCTCCTTAGAGAAATCCCATAGAAAATGCTGGTCGAAAGGTTGAAACATCCTCTTACAACAAGACAAGAAAAGTCAACCTCAACACCATGACCTGCCTGCTTTCCTACATCAAACAATACATATATTGATTAATCACCAGTACAGCATTCACCATATAATCTCCATGAAGAAACCCATGAGAAAATGATGGTCAAAAAAGAAATATAAACATTCTTCCAGGATAAAAGCTCATTTCTGACCACTACTAGCCCACAACTTTTCAGACCTAAACTGCTAGCCCTCAAAAGCTTAAACTCAATTTGTGAGTGGATTAACTTCAACTATTACATGGGTTTCATCAATCACATTCCTATTCCATGTGGTATGACATACCAAAATTGCACATTGAAATCCTTGATGTCCTCATCATGGCTACATATCATTACAACAATCAAGGGCCAAGATCAAACCAAAGCAGTGTGTGCCCACACTAAACTAGAAAACATTCTGATACCTGTTGTAAAGCCCCTAGCTCAAGCACTATTCCCCAACGACTTTTAAGACCTAAACCATAGGCCCTCCAAACTTAAACTCAAATTGCTAGTGGTAAGTGGCTTGCATCTTTACATGGGATTCATCAATCAGATTCCTATTCCATGTGGAAGGTACCACATTCTTGCAAAGACTATAAAAGTAACAACACAAGAATTTATTCCCAAAAGAATTTAAATACAATGAACTTATTGTCACTAACAAGTTACCTAGGGGAGATCAAGACCTATGCTCAAAAACAATCACCTTGAATGCCTTTCAATCTCATGCTTTATCACCAATTAATCCAGTTTGTAAATTAAAAAAACCATTCAAGAAAGATGCATGAAGGCTGCATGGTTACTCAAGTAAAATAAATAAATTTAAGAATTATCATTCTTAACCAGAGGCTGAGGAAAGTATAATCTTGTCATGCCATTACGTCAACAAAATTAGTGTCTAACAACACCTTAGCATCACCTAACCTGGCACGTAAAAAGCCAAGTCCTACAAAAAACTTTTTATCCATTCCTTCACTCAACAACTTGGCATCAATTCTCAATAGCATGCAATGCACTGACATGCATACAGCAGCACATACTTACATAAGGAGCATGTCAGAATAAAACAACCATGGGCATGTAATGCACAAAAAGCACATCTTACTACCACATATACAGGCAATAAACCAACAAATCTTATATCTAGAATGACAGTGGATTAAAAAAACAAAAACTATCAGATGAGCATTAAATTGAAGATACCGAGTATGAAGCAAAACCTGCAGAAGAATGACACAGTGTCTTGTCAACCCAATGTTTTTAAAAGGCGTTGAAAGCCATCCATTCCAAACAAATTCGTCATCAGGGCTGAGCAGGGACATGCGACTTGGAAAAGGTCGAGTGACGTCTCTTGTCTCACAAAAGTAGTGCTTCCCATCAATGTCAAGCTCAGCCAATTCTAGTACATTCTTTACTTCTCCTTTACCCTGAGGTTGAGGATTCTGAAGTGGTATTTTGATCCATTGACTCTCCGTGACTGTAAACACACACCCCCCACCAGGCAAATAGGGAATACTAGCAGCTAACTTTGTAGCAACAAGAAGTAACCCATAGCTTCCCAAGGCGGCATAACCCAATATTGCCCTGGCATGGATTTTACTCTTACACTGCCAGGGCAATCCACTGGTAACATAATCTAAAGCTTCATTCTCAGAACTAAAAACATCAAAACCAAACTTCCCTTGATAGCACAGTACCCCAGTTGTCGGATCAACATAAATCACCTGGGTGTCAATCCTTGTAGACAAGCTAACAACAATATAAACTTCACCAATGTCCGACGTAACCACAACAACAGATGTGCTTCTTGAACCACCAACTAGTAAGACTGGACATAATTAGCTAACCCAATAAACCTATTTAACCAAAAACATTAAAAACACGATTAACCCAAAGAATGAAATCCAAAAACGTGATTACCTGGTGATTCCATGCGCCCCAATTGAAACTACCAACAAAAAACTTTCTGAAAATCCACAATGTTCACTATCCCTGATGGAATCAAAAATCCGTTCATCAAAATTAAACCCAATATAAAAATGAAAGTTCAAATTCTCTACTTTTCTCTTATTTACATGAACAAATTGTGGAAATGACAAATAAATCCGTCAAATCTAAAAAGAAATAAACGCCCTACAAATTCATTGGAGTCCATTACATTGAAGCAATAAATCATTGAAATCTAAATCTTAATAAGTACCCCAAATGTAGATCGTATGATTCAGCTTTTCTTGTTCTTGAGATCTAAAACATGCAAAAATAATTTTCAAAAATGAGATTAAATAAAACAAAGAAACAAATTAAGCCGAAACAAAAAGACCACTGGACTCTATGTTCTTTAGCAAGCATAGGAAAAAAAATCTCAGATTTAACTAATTAACTCTAAAAAAGAGTTGGAAAATGAAATGAAAGAAGACGAGGAGAAATTTTGGGAAATTATGTTATGCATATAGATTAGTTTTATTAGTAATGAAATTGAAAAAAAAAAACCAACAAATAAAACAGAATATTTGGGAAAAGTAATCAACTGACCGGGAAGTTGGAACATCGGACAGAAGCGTGGGAAGAATCGAAATGCCGGAAACAAGGGAGAAATGTTTATACAAAAAAAAAAAAAAAGAATTAAAGATCTTCTGCGGTTGCGTGCAGGAAATGTTTTCCAATTATGCATCGCCACCTATTTATTTTCTGTTGCTTTCTTAAAGTAATTAGAAGCTTGGACTTTTCGAATATTCAAAATTAGAAAAATTTAATTTTCATTGAAAAAATGAGAATTTTAACTTTTACTTGTTTTTGGCTGCCATTATAGGTTTTTTTAGTTATTTTTAAACATTTATATTGATATTTATATAGACCAATTTCATTTTTAAATTGATATTTTAATTTTTTATTAAAATAAAATCATCCGTATAAATTCAATATTAAAAACAGGATAGTCAATATTTTTTTGCAAATGATTTTAGACCACAAAACATAAACTTCATGAAACTTTCATGAGCAACTCTTAATCTTCTCCATTAATTAAAAGTTATAACCCTTTTTGACTTTTGAATAATTGTTTATTATCAAAAGATGATGCAAAAAATAAAACACAAATTAAGGTTAAACACTTGAGAATGAAAGCTTTCTTAATTTTATTGTATCTGCTACTTGAATTTAGTTAGTCACACCTTGGGAATATTTTTAACATTAAGGAGTCATATTGATAATACATTAACGAGTCCTTTGGATAAAAATTGATGTTTACACAACTTGTTATATTTTCTAATATTTTTTATTTTCCAATCCTGTGTTCTAATAGCAGAATTACATTACAAAATGCTAGCAATTGTCATCATTTAGTAGGGTTAGATATATATATATATAAAAAAAAAAGCCTCCATTCACTAATCATCTTCACTGTCATAGTTTTGACAGAGTGATTGGAGTCCAGTGCTTGTACCGTTAGCAATTTTCTCTTCTTGTTTCTTCTCTTCTGGTTTCCTCACAACAGAGATCATGATTGAAGGCTTGAAAGGAGCTTTGACTTGGCGAGTCCCAGAGACACTTGAATTTTCTGTTAACAACCGAACAAGTTCATTAGCATATTTAGATAAATGCAAGCTAAAAGGAATTACTTGATTCACATTTGACAGATACTAAGCCTCAGTGCTGCTAGTGATAGTGATCGACCAGTCAATCTCTTAGAAGCCAGATAAAAGGTGAGGAAAATACTTTGAGATTTGTCTTATTAGGTCTGCAAAACATGCATATATGATTAAATTTGCTAAAAACATCACCTTAATTCTATAGGTTTACTTTGAAGCATTAAAATTTGGTCATGTAGCTAAACCCTTATGCTGTATCCTTCTGGAAATATAATCTTACATTATTTAAGCAGGGCGCATTGATAGAAAATGTTTAGTCTTATTTACAATTTCAATATTTCTTGCTTTAAATAGAAATTTAAACTACTTATACTATCAGTAATAGTGTCTCTGATCAGAATAAAGCATTTTAACATTTTATGCAATGTAGAATTCAAGAATCGATAAATACAACAAATACCTTTGCTGCTGGGGCTGTCAAGAACACTAGCTTTTGTCAAAGCATCTGTAGGGTTATTTGAAACTTCTTCAGACACCTTTCTCCTCTGCATAGCATACACGTAAAAGAATGAGTTCACAGGTTATTTACCATTTAATTTCAGTAATAGGGATTTTACTATAAAGAAGTATTCCACGAGCCGGGTATATTTAAAAGGAAAATTAAAATGAGTGCTGGAAATTCACAGTTCTACAAACATAATTCAATCCCTGTCTATGTAATTTCTTTGATTTAATTAATTTATACCCCTTACAAACAAAAAAGAAACAAATTCCCAAAACTGATGACATTTCAGGTGAATTCTTCCACAAAATTGTCTTGAACTCTATTGAGATATTTTGATGTATGCATCTGCAAGCACCATGCCTAGATGGTGAAGAAAATTGTTGCCACATTATAACTACTATTCTGTAGAGGGACATAAACATGATATTCAGCACAAGTAGCATGACTATCAACATCCCCTAAATTTTTTTTGTGGCCATTTGCATAGGTGCAGAGCAAATTGACAACCTCCATTTGAAAATAAAATTGCAAGTTCAAGAAGAATTTTTTTTTGCCATTACATGAGATAACAAATCATTCAAATGGATTGCTTTCCACCGTCTTGCCCTGACTCTTCATTGTTCCTAAAGTAGCTGTGTCATAAACATACCAACACCTCAAAGTGAACATAGCATAAGGGTCTTGCCCCTTTAAGAATAGTTAAAACTGTAGAAAAAATTGAACATGCGCATGTCAAACAAATACCATGTCTAACAGTCACTCTCTAGCACAAACAACATTGGCTTTCCCTATTTGTCTTCAGTACAGTGAACCCCTTAAAAAAATCTTGTTCTATCTTCAAGGTGACACTTATTACAACCAAATGAATTTTTACTTAATCTATTACATCAAACTATAACCAATTAGTCAGTAATCCCTTTAGCAATTTCAATTGAAAATATGTGAAATATAGAAAAGTTTCTTAAAACCTTTTCATACGCATGTGTATATGCATGATTTTGCTAACTGAAGTTACACCATATAGTACCTTTAAGCCCTCATTTGAGGTTTCACCATTGCCACTTGATAAATGGGTCAAATCTCCATCTTCGCTGAAAACTTCATCCGAAATCCTTCGAACAACTTCCTTTGGCCTCTGCATAAAGTTAACACTGATGTTAGAAACATGCCCACCAAGAATAAGAAACAACTGTGACCGAAAGTAGGGAAGAGCAATAAAGCAATTCTAACCTGAAAAATTGATTTTATAAGCGCCTCATCTTCTTCTTCTAACTTCTTCTCCTGTTAACAAATCAATATTCTTGCAGTCAGAATCACAAAAGCGAAAAGATATACAACCATAATTAAGCAATGTGCTTACCACTACAATTTTTTTTTTTGTTTTTGTGTTTGTGTGAATACGCATCTCCCTCTCAAAAAGTATAAGAGATGAGCAATGTGAACATTTGTAAAGATTTAAATGTTGGAGTTAAAGGATTTAAGAGAGCTTGCATTCACTAAACATGGATGAACAATAATTCAAGAAGCATATCCTAATAGCACCTGATATGATTAAATTAAGCTGACATAATTCAGGAAAAAAATCTTTCCAGACTATAAGCAAATACAACTTTTTTTTTCCATTTCATATTAACCCCTCCCCTTTTCTTTGTTTATGTACAATTACAGAAATGCAGCGTTACAGTTAAAATCAGAGCTCAACAAAACTATAAATTCAATCAGGGTTAGTGATTGCCAAGAAATTCCAGCCAAAGATGTATCACCTTTGACTTAGAAGAAATAGGACAGTATCAAATCGAGGACAAATGAAGCACAATCATGAGATTTTTCAGCATAAAAGCTACTGAAGCCACTATGTAATAAGTAGAAATATTTTTACCTTTTCAACAGCAGTGCGCTGCAAGGCCTCAAGCATTGCATCTACACTCACAGTAGCATGTCTGGACTGCAATACAAAACAGACTTTCATTAGTATCAACAAGAAGAAAATATATGGCCATTTTGATAGATAAATATATACCATTAGGACTTCAATTTCACACAGAAAAATTAGGACTGACAATATCTGCCCATACCCAAATGCCTGCTCAAGCCTGCCCATTTTCCTTCAATGGGAAATAAGGGCCAAACATCCATTTCATCCTTTATCATTGAATAATAAATGGGTATCTATTTGACCCATTTACTCAAAGCATTTAAACCCATTTGAGTCTCGAGACTCCTCAACAGTTGACTCCCCATTCTTAGCAGCTTCATTGTTTCAGGCACAAACCTCTACACCCCATTTCACTCCAACATTATCACCTCTAGCAGCTTCACCCCATCACTCCATCACCACAACCACCCACTCCTCATTTTGCTCATTGAATTTTGCTACTTTTGACAACAATTCTAACACCAATGGCATAGAGAAGCATGAGATGCATGTTCCTAGCTCTCTTTGTCTCTTTTACAGTATAAGTTTAGATGTTTGGATGGCTTGTTAAATGATTAGAACTGTTCTACAGATATACTTTAAGAATTTGCTTCTGGTTATTGCACTAACTATCTTATTGGTGCTAGAGTTTGGAGGCTTCATTTGGCTTTCATGTAAATCGGAAGAAAGCAATGCTGTTGCATTGGCTGTGTTGTGCTTGTCATCCTTTGTCTTAAGATCTGGTAACGAAGACCTATTTTGGTTTTTTCAGTTCAATCCCAAACACTAATGGCAAATACTTTAGTCCACAAAAGATACTATTTTATGAAAAAACAATCATGGCCTTAAAATTGTAAATACTTAAGTGCATAAAAACTTTTTAAAAGTTTTACAACAAAAAAAAATATAACAAAAATATATCAGCAGAGCAATGGCTAGGTTGGGCATTAGAATATAAACTAATTGGGTCACAAAATGAACAACTGAGGAATTATGACCTCATCCATTTATGACCCGCCCATTTGACACCCATAGACACAGTCAAAACGAAGAAAAAACATTTTATGTTATTCTATTTTGTGATGAAAGTAATGATGCATATCTTGCATAATATACATAATGTTAGTTTAAGTACCTTCATAGACTTCATTTCATCAAGTGCGGCAAGAATGTCCATCTCTCTTTTTGAATCCAACGTTCTGTTCTCCAAAGATTTCATTGCATCCCCCATTTCTTCAGATTCTCTTTTCTGTCTCTCCTTCTCTGCTTCCTAACAAAAGGAAAGATGAAAGATTTTATTATAAGAATCATAACTACATATTCAGTACTGTTAAAAGAACTATAGCAACATTTAGCTTGATTCACAAGGCTCTCACCTCATCCTCAGCACGCCAAGGTTCAAAATTTCTCGTTGCGCCAGATTCAACAATATAATCTGAATTTTGTGGATCAGTCTTCATTGCAATCTCGGCAGAGCACTTGGTGCATTTGAAATAAAACCTAAATATTTGGATTCCCAAATAAGTCTGCAAATAAGTGCAATACAAACAAAAAAAAAGTAAATAAATGCACTAAAAATTAGGCTCTCAATCTGCAATTAGTGAGAATCTCATGAAAATGTGAGGGTTAGG